GTGTTGTGTACTCAAGGGATTGCGATCATTTTCACTATTTCTTTCCTATATTCCTTCCAATATTTGTGCAAATTTTTTTTAGATAATCTCCATAGCAATAATTTTACTTAGGTTGCAAATTCTTAATTAGCGTGCTAATATGCGAAAATATTTTATTTGAGCGATCGCAAATAATAAATTTCGTTGGCTTAGTTTGGCAAGTCAATCAGCGAGCTTTACATTGCTCTTTTCTTTGCTTCATCAACAACCATTTATCATTAAAATACGATTTATTAATAAGTAAAATGAGAATAATTGCATAATTATATTTTAATTCCAGTAATTTTTGACCTAATTTTTAAAATAAAATGCAGCGAGATTGAAATGCAACAAGTTCGGCTCATTCTCGACAAGAGTACGCTTTAAAGCCTTTTAAAGATCCGAGTGGCTCTGGTGACTTTCATCTCTATCTCTGTCGTCTATGGCGAAAATTTCTAACCGCACAGCCAGCAGAGCAAAGCTAATCAGAAGTGATAAACGCTAATCACTTACCTTTTAAGATCAAATTAGAAAAAAAATTTGTTTTATTTTGATAATATTCAAATTTCTTTAACCAACATAAATAGATTATTTGGCAATTTTCAATTTTTTGTGAAAGAATTAATAAATCAGTTTTTTTCATAGCTTAGGTAAGTCGCTTTTTTTTGAGTTCTTCCATTTGAAATCCTTTGTATAAATCTGATTTCTAGCCAAGCGTGATATTTAGCGAGTTAAGGCCATATAATCCATTCTTTGCTTGGGCTTCATCCATTAGTTAGATTTAAGTATGCCATTATAAGCCATTATAATAAGAGCATGGAGAAATTTTATGGTTCAATGAAAATTTTTGAGTGAAGAAGATTTCCAGAAAAATGAATAAAAATGCATACAAAAATGCATAATCTAACGGAGTGTTAAGCAAATTTTCTTTCTTTTACTCTTTTTTTAAAGATTTTATGATGTTTGGTTTATTTGGTAACCGAAAATGTAATAGAGAAAAAACTGGCAAAAAATTTCAGATATTTCCTTACACAAATCACTGCCAGAGAAATACTTAGAGTTGCAATCTCGAATTTCATTTTTATTCTCAAAGGACAGCGATCGAATCTATGATGGTTCGATCTTAGCTGAAACAAGTTAACAGTCGGTCATCCTTCCCTCGTAATTACTTTCATTGAAATTTCAAGATAGAAAACTAATAAAAGTTTCAAATTTTCAGCAATAATTTAATTTAGTATGGAATATATTAAATTATATTAAATAATGAATTTTGAATTTTTATTTTTATTGAATGGCAATAATATTTATTTGTTTTTTTCCCAATATCTGACATTAAATTTTTTTAAATTTTTAGTTTGATTGTGACTTTCAATTTTCTTTTTTATTTTACTCATTTCGTTTTATTCATTCAACATGCATTTTTGCTCGATGCGAACATGCATTCGAGAGCTGACATTCCCTTTATTCAATATATTTATTCAATAGTATGATGCGTTCGAGGGTTTGATATTTTCTTTATTCGATATGAAGTGCAAAACGAAAATTAGCATAAATTATTTATTAGAATTTTGTATTATTTTTTTTTGCCATTGATGTGGATTTTCGTTTAGAAATTTCGAATATTTTGATATCTTATGAATTATTTCGTTTTCTTCTTTAAATTGAGAATTGTAATAATGAATTTGATATTTAACGAAATATCAAATTGAAAGTACCAATTATTAGCAATTTAATCAAAGAATTAAGTTTGTACTTTACGTGAAGTTGTGGAACAAAATGCTATTAAGTTTCTTTTGGAAACAAAAAACGAGAAAGTAAAATAAAGTAGAACAAAAAATGTTACTTCGTGATTTGCATTCTTAATTAATTAGTATTTGTTTATAGAAAATTGTGTGGATGAATTAATTTAATAAACTTCGGTAAAGCTATATGGTGAATTCTTCGTAGATTTGCGAAGAAAAGACTGTCTTCTTTATCGACCTTTATAAAAAATTATCAAAAATTCCAAGCCTTAAGCTCAGACTTATTTGAATTGAAAATTTGATAAATTTGATGAAAATTTATAAATTTAATGAACCTAATAGATGGTAAATATGTTTATCACTAGTTTCAGTGAAACTTAATCTGTAATTTCTGAGCAAAATCTATTAAATATTTCATATGATTTATATATTCCATCGAAATCTTTTGTGCTTTTCATCTTCGATTGACGTTCATTTTAGGTTCAAAATTTAATTTTCTAGTAATAAAATTTGAAATTGGACCCAATCGAAGATTATCAGTTGAAGGGTCAGCAAAAGCTTTTACAAAAAATTACGGTTTTTAATGTGGTTACTGATAGAATGAAACAAGGATAAAAATTTAAAGCTAAGATCGACTGTATCATACAAATAGATTGATTTATAAACAAATATCGAAATTTATATGGTCAATTCAGATTATAAATATTGATGATGGATGGATACTGGAATAGGCGAAAAATGTTTTTTAATGGTCTCATTAATATTTGCAAAATGTTTTATCTGATTTATCTTTAAGTACTTTATTTACTTTTATTCCATTATTATTTTTCTATTTCTCATATAAATTTAAATTATTCATGCGATTATTATTTCTTTATTAATTTTTATTCTTTATTGACCATACCACATTTGTTGCCCACATTTGCTTTAAAGTATCGCAAAACTTATTCTTCAGATTAGGTGATAACCTAGTGGTAATTTGATTAATCTTCATGATAAATGCAAGGAAATTATTCAGATATAATTTAAACTAGTCGATATTAACTGATAATAATTTGCTTATCGAAAAAACTTATTGGTAGAAAATATATCGATGAAAATTATACATTTGCGAATTATTATAGGAATTTTATTATTTGATAAATGAGCATATTATATATAAAACATGTAACAAAACATATTGTAGGTGATTTGTTGATAGATTCCCAAACGTTGTCTACGGGCAGTTGTTTATTTGTTACTTAGTTATTTAGTTGGTTAGTTAGAGATCGATTCTCATTTATAATAAAAATAATCATAATTTATAATTCTAATATGTTTCCATCGTTAAAAAAGGCCAACGGAAGTTTTTTTTAACAAGAAAAAATGAGTCTTATCAATTTTATTAAAAATTTTCATTTTTTCATAATTTCATTTCGATAGAAAAAATTCGAAATTCGATTTCAACTGTATTTTTGAAACTCTGTGCAACTGGTTTATTTTTATTAACTTAACTGAATTTTGCATTTTCTTCAATTATGAATATAATAAAGCACTTTGTAATTTTGTCACGTCTTATGACTTTTTCATTATATTCCTATGTATTTCCGAAAACAATTTATGGAGGAGAGATTCACAGGTTTCAAGAAGATACCAGGATTTCACTAGACAACTGAAAACGTGCATGTGATACAAAAAATGATTTTTTGGAGACCCGAATTTAGCTGACAAACATAACATAATGGTTACGAGCTATAAATAATAAACTGTGGCGTATTGCAATTTTCGTGAAAATTTTACGCTTTCGAAATTTTTTATAATGTTGGAAATAATATATGATCACTGTTCAGAAGAACGACTAGAATTGCTTGGAGTTCTGGAATATAACACAGAAAGACTCATCTCGATTTTTTGCATTTTTTTACTTCGATCAAGGGAATTGACTCAAAATTTTACTCAAGAACCAACCGCTTCAACTTAGTGACGATTCGATTTTGGAATATTTTAACTAAAAACGATTCTGATACATCTCACAGGTAGATAAATTTTTTTGATAAAATTCTTGCTAGGAGAACAATGTTTTTATTTTCATTCCATTTGGCTTTTTATTTAAATTTTTCTTCAGCAAATCGATTTTTCATGATACGGATTAGTTTAATCTTTTATAAGAAGATGTAGATTAACTTTGTTTATTATAAAATTATCGCTCTTTGTTGGAAAAGAATGGAAATCAAATTTTATATATTTTTGAAAAATATTGCAATCTTCAAGAAAAGTTTCCCTATAAAGTTTTTTGGCAATAGATTAGATTTACAGCAATAGATTTAAACAAATAAAGAAAAATTTGATTTTCAAATTCACAGCGAATAAAAAGTGGAAGAATAAAAGGAAATAGGAGAAGTACCATCACATTTACTATTTATGTTTTTTAACTGCAATTGTACGACAGAAAAACTAATCAAACCATTGACGCATTAAAAATTAGGGACAAATTGCATATAGAGAATTAAAAATTAAACTAATTATCGCAGGGAAAATTGGTCGTAGGTCCAATTATGTCATGAAAACATACACGCACAAAGGGCAAAGTCATAAAAATGGCCAGAATAAGAGGTGAAAATTCACAAAAATTTTTATAAATTGAAAAGGAAGTGTAAGGTGGAGAAAAAATTACACGCGATTAGAGTCAGTTTGCGTCGATTTTGTCTTATATTTGAGATATTGAGATACTTATCGGATATTGCTCAATAACAAATAATAAGCAACGCCGCCTGCGGTTCGAGCAGCTCGTAGGCTATTTCAATAATTGTTTAGCCCCCTTGGCAATAGTTTTAAGGACAACTGTATGTATTGATTGAATATATTCTTCTGCATAGGCCTATTCCCTAAGGAATATCATTTTCTTTCGTTTTTATTAGCCTTTTTGATAGGGCTGACCGGAGAATTCGTTTTAGCCACATCTTGCCAGTAAGGCTCGTATGATTTAATAATTCAGTAATTCATCGTATGTATTAATTCATTCGAGATGTGCACTGATTTCATTACAGTATTCAATGTATAGACCAGTAATATCACGACAAAGCTCAATTTTTCACCTTATACAAACTGATTTTGGCCTGTACGATTCTAAAAAATTTTTTGATCTCTCATTCTTCGTATAAAAAAATTTATTTAAGAACTTGAACAACACGAGTTTTATCTTTAAACAGATTATAGTTCATATCGGGAAGCAGTGGAGAGCATTCCGGAATGGGGTGTACCATGAGTCAGGAGGAGCGAGCAGCGCTCGAGCGCTCGCGTATGATTGAAAAGAACTTGAAAGAAGATGGTTTACAAGCCGCGAAAGACATCAAGCTCCTCCTGTTAGGTTTGTTTGTTCAAATTTTTCACCCGGTTTTTTTGCAATTTCCTGTCAATTATTTAATGGATTGGCATCTGGCTGCAATCCATTAAATAAATGACAGGAAATTGCTAGGAATATCATTTTTTTCTAAATTTATGGTATAAATTGGGATGAAAAATATCGACCAGTTGTTGTAAATGTTCAAAGTATTTAGTAAATATTTAAAATTTACAGGTGCTGGCGAATCCGGTAAATCAACAATAGTCAAGCAAATGAAGTAATTATTTTAAAATTTTCTTTATTTAAATGTCTTTTTTCTTAAGAGCTCACCTTTACTGGTTAGACTGGCTGCACTCGCTCCTGGAACATATGTTAGGGGGTCCTTGGCAATAGCAATATAGGTGAGTCGCTAGCATCACCTAGATTTTTGGGCAGATTTACTCCTGCGGAGAGTAGAAGTTATTTTAGTCTTCTCTCTTTTTTTGATTAGCCCCACAAATTGCAGAAATGGCTATTTGCAGTTTAGTGGTAAATAAATTTGTCATCATTGAACATTGAAATTTGTCATCATTATTTTTTCATTATGAATGTTTCAGAATTATTCATGAATCGGGTTTCACAGCTGAAGACTATAAGCAGTACAAACCGGTTGTTTATAGTAATACTGTACAATCTTTAGTGGCTATTCTTCGGGCAATGGGCAATCTATCAATATCATTTGGAAGCATAGACAGAGAGGTTCATTTTTTTTCAACTTACAATATTTATTACAATTTTATAATTTGTTTTTATTCACTTATAATTCATTGTAATTTATAATTCTATGAGATATTGAATGCATGGTGTTAAAATTGTCACTGGGATAATGATAATGATATGATTGGAGTTTGCAACGGGATCAATAATTTATCAGTAATCAATAACAGTAATTTTTTGTAATTATTTAGTCATCTTAGGAGTTATCCTTTTCTTAAATATAAATATAAATTCATCCAAAGCAATTTTATAATAAAAGATTTTAAGCGCTGTTTGAATTTATTTTTTCTGACGATTTTTCTAGCGGTTGATTTTTGCATAATTATTATTATTCGATTTATTCGAATATCATAATTTGATGAAACGAATTGATATTCGTTAAATCACTGTAGGATATTTTATTGTCCTAAAAACCTTAGTAATTTTTTGCTTTCTTATTTGGTAATAGAAAAGAATAGAAAAGAAAAGTGAACAAAAAGCAAATTTTTTCATCGATTTAATAAAATTCAAATAGAAAATAATTGTAAACATATGAAAATCATTTGTAAGCGATAAATCTGTTTTATTCAATTATGAAAGTTGGAACTTTTCTCGATAATTTGATAATTTTATTGATTGCAAGAAAAAAACTTCGGATAGAACTTTTGCTATAATAAACGAGTCATTTAGTACCACAAAAATTGAACTATCTTGAAGGATTTGTAAATAATCCATTATTTATTATGCAAAAAAAAAACAATAGTAAATTTCTTTTCAAGTTCCATAGATTCATGGAAATCCATGAATCGTGAATCAGTAAAAAATTAGTTTTCCCAGCTTTTCTCATTTCTTCCTTCGTGATCATTTACTAATTTTTCTATCTATTTTTCCCGTATTTCGATATTTTAAAAGATTGCAATTATTTTACTTTTTTCCATTTTTTTTCAAACATTATTTCTAATGCGACTTTAACTATTGCGATGAGACCCGTTCGGCTGAGCAGCTAACTTGAATCATAGTTGAGTTGGATTGCGAGTAGCAACTTGATTCCATCTCTAAAATATATATATATATATATATATATATAATAAATACTTATTCATTCATAAATCAAAATCATAACATATTGGTTTATTCTTACTATGTGCAATTACTCTTACTTTGCTTAAGGTTTTTTTTCGGCGTCATTACGCCAAATAAAAATGTCACATTCACACTCACCAAGATGCAAAAAAATCGGAACCAAACCTATGACTTGAACTTGGCCTCGATTGAAGAAATCTGCCATTCAACCACACTTTCTCTCTTCTGATCAAATATGAATCCAAAATTTTTATGAGTATTTTATCACTTATATCTTCTTATTGTCGAATGAACCAAAAATTTTGATTCTATAAAAATAAAAATCAGCAAAATTTAATAAAAATCAGCCTTATATTCCATGTTGATAATTTAATATTTATATGTTTATGGCTTCTTTCATTTTTTTTGCCGTCTAAGAGGTAAATTTTTTATGTCCCATATCAACTGAAACATGACGAACGTATGAATGATGAAATTTAATTATATAAATAATTTCTCGAACAACCATTGTAAATTAAGTCAAACAAAATTACAATTATAGAATAATACTGAAACTTTACTAATGATGTTCAAAATTGATTTCTAGAAAAAAAACCATTCCATAATTAACTTACTCATTTTTCCATTCCTATAAGTGATAAGTGTGAATGGACAAAAACATCGCCATTTTATATCTCGAATCATTCATAATTTTATTAACATTATTAAAATTGCTAAATACATTACGTTGGTGCCACATCCATCACTCAGTGGTTGTACGAGGACTAATACAGGGATTGAGGGTGATATAATGATATAAAGATATAATGAGGGTGATGTAGAGCAATATGCAACTGGTCGAGTTTTGCTTTCTTTAAAGTTTTTTAAATCATCGGAGATTTATTCCTGTTACTTGATGAGAGTAAATCTTCTATTTAAAGTTAAAGAAGGGTGGTATTAGAGAAACTCTATAATTCTAACTGTAAATGATCGGAATATACTGATAAAAATCAATGGAACTAACTAAATAATTAAACCAAAAATTGTGAGCTGGAAATAGAAGAAAAACATTAGAAAATAGCCAATTTTATTAAGTTTTCAAAAATATTTTTGTGATGAATGAGGATATCATAAAAAATTTATGGCAAAAATTTATATTATTATAAAAATTAGAAAGGAAAATTTTTGTTTAAATATATAAGCGTAGTCGTTAAATATTTCGTCAACGAAAAAAAAAATCTATAGAAGTGCGAAGACGAAGAAAAGCAACGGCTGCGTAGGCTGAACTGAAATTAATTTGGCATAACAAGCATCGATTATGTGGCAATATTGATGAAGAATGATGGCGAAATGCATGATTTCACATCATTCGTGATGTTAGCATGAAAAAGAGATTAATGAAAAGATTTTTTTTTGTTACTAATTCAGATAATCTTATTCGAGGGATTATACAAATTTTTAGAAAATAGGAAATTAAGAAATAGGAAACTGAATTGATTTTATTTCACCTTTGGAGACGTAAAAATTGTTAGATGTAAATATTCATTTCTGGAAAAGATTACGGAAAGCTGGATTTGCTCAAACCTTTTTATAATAAATGGTACCATTTCTGGTTTGGTAGATCAAATCCTGCAATGGACGACGGAGAACGTGCCCTAACCAGCGAAGACGACGTTTCGTGATAGTATTATTAATACATGTGGTAACTGAGCGAAGATGGATACAGTCATGTGCGATTTTATCCGCTCGACGGATTCGTAACATGTATCTTAGATATGATTGGTCAAAGACGATAGCTTCTTAATATCTTTCACTCTGGTCACGTTTTGCAGCTATATAGCAAGATCGAGCGAACAGCGTACGCTGATCTTCGTGTTTATGGTGACTTCGTGGCAGTTCCATAAAGGTTTCATCAACCAGAAAAATACATTTCTAGCTGCCATAATCCGTGTTGTAACATTGTCTTTTGCCTGGCCATTTGGGATCAGGGTGGGTCCAAGATATTTAAAGTCGGGCACTTCCTCAACCTGTAATGAATTTATTAAAAGAGGTATTTTATCAACTTGTAAAGTTTATAACCATATAAAGTCTTTTATTCACATTGGCCTTTAGTCCGATTCTCGCTGCAGTTGCTGACACGTTGTTTAACATTATTTGCATTTCATTATAACTTTCAGCAAAAAGGACTACATCATTAGCGCATTTAAGATACTCTGGACCGATTTTTTGCACTTCTTGATCCGACAAGCGGTGATCCATTATCCAGTCTATCACATAGTTGAATATTGCAGGGGATAGAACGCAGCCATTACGGACACCAGTTCTTATTCCGAAGGAGTCTATCAGTTCCCCATATAGACCTGTGTCAGGATATGCTGATAAAATGCCTTTATATACCTTTATGGGTCGAATGATCTTCTCTGGAATACCGTCACATTCCATCACTTTCCAGAGCGCTGCTCTATCAAGGGAATTAAAGGCAGCTGCAAAATCGATAATGGAAGTGACGATGGGTGGCTGGCATTTGAAGCGATATTCCACCATTCTTCGTAAATATTTAAATATCTGGTAAATATCTGGTCAGCACAACTGCGTCCTGTTCTGAATCCAGCTAGGTTAGGACATTCTGCTATCTCTTACTGCCATGAGTCTATTTAGCAGGAAGTAAGCGAAAAATTTTGTAGGTTGATTCGTCAATAAATATTGCAGTACGTCCTGTCACCTTTCTTCTTTCTTTGGAAGGAAAATTGCTTTGCTCCAGTCTTTCGGTATTATTTTCTTTTGCCATACCAGAGAATTTATTGAAGGTGAGTTATGAATGATGATGGACAATATTTGAAGAATTCGATGTGAAGACCATCTTCTCCGGGAGTTTTATTGGTCTTAAGTTCAGAGATTACATCTTATATTAGCGGTTCACAGTTATAAACTTAAGGCTTGATGAGCGAATCATTTATATCCAGGATAACATAGCGATAACATATGGTTAAATTTAACCTCAAAAAATTCTTTCCATCTTCTAAGATCCTTAACAGCTTTATAGGCGCCCCATTAATATCCCTTATCATTTTACTGATCCTTTGTCGAGTTAGAGTTGCTTTGTGAAGAGAGCGAAAAAGTTTCCTATCACCTATTCTGGACGCCTTTTCCATTCTCTAGGCCATATCGCTTCAAAAACGATTTCTGTTCCACAGTGATGCTGTCGTTGTAACGTTGTAATTCTTGAAGCACCCGATAGCCCGATAGTCAGGATCTCCTGACATTCGGGCTTTGGCAGTTTTTTTAGATAGTGGGATAGTTGTTTCGGACACCCAAATAACGCACTTCATATTAGTGTGGAAGTGGCCGACTTTTTTGTAAGCATGTTTTTAATTGGGACCAGTATTCATTCGCCTTTCCAGAACAATGCAGTATAACCACATATATATTGCCGAATTATTTATAAATTCAAAATCTCTCTTGTCCTGCTCAATCCATTCATTTCACATTTATTGCAATTCATCTCAAGGCCCAGCATATGTGCGGAATTCTCATATCTCTCACGAAGAAAATATTCAAATTCAATGTATATTCAAATTCAAATATTCATTACATTCTTGGTTCTAGTTTTCAGTTTTCATTTCATATGTATCTTTATGGCTGAAAAGTTTGAGGGACAGTTATTGCAACTCTCATTGAAATATCTATTACTATATTTTTTTAAAAGTATTCTTACCATTACTGGTTAAACTCGCTCCGCTGGCTTGTCGTGCTGGACCGATATGCCAGGGAGTCCATTGCATGACAGGTAAGTTGCCAGCATCACCCAAATTTATGGACAGGTTTACTCATGTGGGGAATAGAACCTCAACATCGGCTCTCAGAATTGAGCCACAACCCACTTAGCTATTCGATCCACACCTATTATTATATGTATGAAATCTTGGTTTTAGCATAAGTAATATTAGAATGTAATAATAATAGTAATTCGAAATACTTCGAATCATACTCTTATTTTCTCACGTCTGGCTTACATACTTCAAAATTACCATTTTCAGGTTGATGCAAAGCTAGTTATGGATGTAGTGGCTAGGATGGAGGATACAGAACCGTTTAGCGAGGAACTTCTCTCAGCAATGAAACGACTATGGGCAGATTCGGGAGTACAAGAATGTTTCTCACGATCGAATGAATATCAACTCAACGACTCAGCTAAATAGTGCGTTTGATTTGCAAACCCCTCTCCTCACATCCTCCATTTTTCCACCTAACAAATCGCTCCTTCTTATTATTTTACATAAATTTCCCATTAAATCTCATCATATCAAAAATTTAAATATGATAAATGTGATAAATAAAATAAATAAATAAACATGTGATAAATAAAATGAGTGAATACTTACTAATACTTCTTTCTTAAATTACCTCTTACAGTTCTGCCAATACTTATCGTTCCCCATCGGTTAAACCAGTTGAAATCTGCATTTATTGGAAATTTTTTGACCAGAAATTAATATAAAACATATAATCGTCTAGTCGTATTTCGTTTTTAAGGCCATCTTTTTCATCATAATTAATGAATGAAAAATAATCTGTAAGGTTTGTATAGCAATTTTTTCTTCGTTCAGTTTCTTGGATGACCTGGATCGGCTTGGTCAACCAAATTATCAGCCGACTGAGCAAGATATTCTACGGACTCGTGTAAAGACAACTGGTATCGTTGAGGTTCACTTCACCTTCAAGAATCTCAATTTTAAGTAAGTAGACTCATTTTTTCCGAATTTCTTTGTTTTTTCAATATTCTTTAAATTTCATTAAATTTTGAACTGAAAAGTTCTGAAAATTGCCCATACTTTACCAATTTAATCGCACGTTTAATTTTTATATTTTAAGGCTTTTCGATGTTGGTGGCCAACGATCAGAAAGAAAAAAATGGATTCACTGTTTCGAAGATGTAACTGCTATAATATTTTGCGTTGCTATGTCTGAATATGACCAAGTATTACACGAGGACGAAACTACGGTAAGTCTTCCAGATATTTTACGGGCTCGTAAAGACAAAAATTCTCCAGAAAAACCTTTTATCTAAATAAGTGAATAAATAAGTGATAGAAATATCCATGCAAGAATCCAATGAATTCGCTGTCGAAAAGCTTTAACTATTTAAAAAAAGATTTAATTTTTAGAAGGCACCAGCATAAATTTTTGGAACTATTTCGCAATTATGGAATTAAGTCTGAATAAATTTACAAATTTATTGATTCATTTCCAACTTCGTTTTTAAGGCCCTAGTTTTATGACGGCGTTGTGGTGCCAATATTCCCCAAATTAGCATTGAAATTTTAATATTTTGCTATTCATTCACTACTTTTACCAATCTCTATTCTTATGGTAATGGATTTTGAATAAACGGAATATTCATTCCCTATTGTTCATGATTTTAAGAAATTTAGAACCGAATGCATGAATCGCTGAAATTATTCGACTCGATCTGCAATAATAAATGGTTCACTGATACGTCGATTATACTTTTCCTAAACAAAAAAGATCTCTTTGAAGAAAAAATCAAGAAATCTCCATTAACTGTCTGTTTTCCAGAATATTCAGGTATATCTTATCAAAAATTTTGCAATTAAAACTAAAAAACAGCGAAATTCTTCATCAAATTTGATATTCAATAAAAATGAATTCAATTAATTAAAAATTTCTTATTATGAGCTCTTCGCCTTCACCCAAATTTTCTAAAAATGGAAATGATAAGCAATAAGAGGAATAGTGAATGGAAAAAGAGGGGTAAATGGAAGAGAGGGTAGAAAGCGATTAGCCAACCTAACGTACCACACTCTTGCTTTTCTTCGATTATCGCTCCGACAGGTTTATTCACGTCGAATGCAAAATCCGAACATTGATGGTAACTTAAGTGAAGCAAAGAATTCTTGGTTATTCTGTCTCTCTCGTTTATAAATTTTAAAATCGAAATTTTCAGGTCGGCAAGACTATCATGAGGCTAGCGCTTATATTCAGGCTCAGTTCGAAGCAAAAAATAAGTCAGCAAATAAAGAAATCTATTGTCATATGACCTGTGCAACTGACACCACAAATATTCAATTCGTATTTGATGCTGTAACTGATGTTATTATTGCCAACAACTTAAGGGGTTGTGGGCTATATTAATATGATTATCAATAATATTATTATCAAATTCCTCTTAATAGTTCTGTCCTCCAGTATTTATTCATTAATTTAGTCCTAAATCATATTAAACAAGCAGATTTTTCGGAGCTCGATTTCGTTGATGTTGGCTTTGTTCCGTTAAACGTAATGTATTCCGATTTGTTTCGCTATAGGTTCAAAAATGTCTTAATTAAATTTTTAAGATGCTTAATCATCTATATTTGATTTTTTCTGAATCCATTTGGAAATAGGAAAACCTGGATAAGTCAAGAAATCGAAGCGCATGTAGGGCTAAGCGATTTAAGTGTGCGGATAGGTCAGTTTATTTATCGACGCATGAAATCACCATGAAATTATCGGCCTTCATGATAAGTCACCGTTAAAAAATCCAGAAAATTGGATTTTTTCTCCTTCACAATGATCTCCCATTTACCATTTATCAATCGAATTAATCTTAATATATAATTGTAAATATTTCATACTAATCGGCATATATACTTTCTTCCATTCGATTAATTATCTGGCTTTTTCTTTGGCATTTTCTCAATTGAACTTAGTCATATTTTTAAATTATCTATAATCACTGTCGTTAATTATATAATTAAATAAATAAACAAAATTTGGCTGAATTTAATAAAATCAATTTTAGTCAATAATTTTTAATTTTAGCGTTATTTTTTAAAATTTTGTTGTATTTTTAATTGAAATTTTAATTGAATTATTTTTCGTGCTCTAGCGAAAATTTCAAGCATTTCGTACTTCTTAACTATTATAAATTAGGCGAAAGGTCGTCGAATTCATCAGCTAAAGTACCATTCCTTCTTTCGTTTTAGTTTTATTGCATAAATTATTAAATTTTTAATTGTTGGTGAAAAATTCAATTCAAAATTATTTTTAATTTGTTTTTTCTCTTCTTTTCGATGAGCTTTATGATTTTCTGTGAAAAATTTAGAATTTTATTTATCAACAGTCTATTTACATTATAAAAACCATCGACTTTTTCTATTTTTTCTTTGGTTTTTTGGTTTTTTCTAAAATTTATTGTATTTTTTGTTGTGTTGAAGTAAGAAAATTTTCAAAATTGCCATAATTTTCTATTTACTAAAAAGGAATTTTGATAATGTAAATGTTAATATTAATTAAATGTTTCTCAAAAATAATGCAAATTATGCTTTGTTAATTTGAGAATTGCTTTGTTCAACCTAATACTTTTCTAATTCCTAGCGATAAATTCCTAGAACCGTTCAAATCGTCGAAAGGAAATGTTAAAGGTTATATTTGAAAACCGCAGAAAAGTCGAACAACCATTTAAACACGAATGTTTCCCTATCGTTTTAATATTAATATTAATATTATTAATAGACTTTCTTGTCGATTTTTCTAATTTCGTTTATCGAGTTCATATGGTTGCATTCTTAGTTGTTCACGGCCATTTTTCAAATCGAATCAAATTTTCTTTTTTAGAAAATTTTTCTATTTGCAAATCATCAATTCCGTTTTTTCTCTCTTTTTTACCTTAAATATTTTCTATTTTAATGATATTACAAAAAATGTATTCATTTTTGACGTATTTGCTTCTTTTTTTTAAATTGAAATGTTCAATATCTTTCAAAATAAATAAATCTCTTAACGTATTTAATATATGGAAACGAATAATAAAATGCTTTATTAATTAAACGATGTTTTACCTAAAAGCTGAAAATTTTTTGCGGACAACTGCGTCACCGCAACCGCCTCATTTAACTTATTTTGAGGCTAATCGCCGCGTTTTGAGGCAATTCGAAGAACTGCTCTCCAGCACCGTTTAGCGCGTTTAGCACGTTTACAATTAATTTTCTACGTTCTAATTAGCCGATAAATTGAAAATGAATTTCGAAGCGATATCGCTGCATTACAATGATATTAGTGATATTATTAATAAAATATCTAAAATTGTTCTAAAAAAAAGGCCGAAAAAAATATAGCTTTACATTTGGATGAAAGGTTCGGTGGGTTGTTGTTCTCGCTTCGGAGCACAAACGCTGTGGTTCCATTCCCAGTAGGGGAAAGCTCGTCGTCGTCGAAAAACCGAATTCAGCTGCTCCCTCGCAAAGTCTGCTCGGTCCGATAAAGCCAACGGAGCGAGTCCAAACAGAATCAATGGGCGTTTTCAGAGTCCTATGAACGGGGAGGTGAACTGAACGTTTCCCAGGCTGAATTTTTAAATTATTTGGAAATTTCCATTTTATTCCATCAAATGAATAAAACCTCCAATTCGTTGAGAAAGAGTACGGTATGGAGAAAGACCTGCGCGGAATTCTAATTAATATTATGCTGTAACATTTCAAAGGTTTTGAAGCGAACTGACGCGCAGTTGGCTTTGATCCGAAAATGCCTTGTTGGAGAATAAAAATCATTTGGCGAGATGGAGTTGGAAGGAGGGGGAAAAGGAGAGAGAAAGTTTGAAAGGTTGATGAAGGAAGAGGAGGAGAAGGGAGAAAGGAACTGGTGATTTCTATTCAAACCATTTAATGTCGAGGAGATTTCAATCCACGTGTCAAGCTATTAGTCGATTTTTTTATTGTACTAATTATTTAAATTTTTGCAAAATTTCATTATTTAGCATAATTTTTTAATTTGTTAAATCCGAAATTTAACTTTTTTTGAATCAAATTTAAATTTTCGGAAATAATTTTTTTAGAATTTGTCAAAAATGAAAATTTATCTTAAAGTTGAGAATATTTCAGAAAACATCGGTTAAAAGTCCTTCTTTCCATCATTTTTACTGCAATTCAGATTTTATTTTTTCAATTTTCTATTCTTTCATTGGTTTCGTTAATCGTTTTAATTTGTAATAATGCCCACTATTTTATCAAATTTTTTCAGGTATTTAGGATATGTCGATGTTAAAAAAATTTGAATCCAAATCTGCTCGAGTGAAAGGTTTTTGAATTCTTCCAATTCATTTTTAAATTTGTTTTTTAAATAATTTATTAATGTAACTTATTTATTTATCATCATTGCTACTTTTATTTATATGGTTTTGCTTTATTACTTTTTGCCATTTTTAGGTCTTTCATTTCATCCGACTCGTCCATGGATCTTAGCTTCATTACATAGCGGTATTATTCAGTTATGGGATTATCGAATGTGCGTTCTCCTAGATAAATTTGATGAACATGATGGCCCAGTACGAGGGATCGCTTTCCATAACCAGCAACCAATATTTGTATCTGGTGGGGATGATTATAAGATAAAGGTTTAATTTTTATAACTCGTCAAATTCACTTTGTTGCTAAATAAAAACTGAACATAGAAATTGCTAAAAATTGCTATGCCTATACAATTTGTTTCGCAATAATTCGCAGTTATTCACTTTTAGACTTTATATTTTTTAATTTAATTTTATTTATTTATTTAACATTGAACCAAGCAGGACAAAAGTCCATCTACTGTTTTAATGAAGAAAATTTATGAGTGGCAGAAAAATAAACTAAAGTGATGAAAACTCTTTAACATTGTGATAGAAATTCTCGAAGTTTTTTCCTCCATTCATCTTATTATGAATTTCCATTTATTTTAATTTATCGTCCTTTCTATTCATTCGTTAAATCACTGAGAAATTACGATAGATTATTGTAAGTACTCAAATGATCATAGAGGTGCGAAATAAATATATAATATCCAGTTCTATTCAGACCAGAATATAAAAGATGCATATAAATAATATCCAATCCTTTTCAAAGCAAAATATAGAAGATGCATAGATTATATCGCATGGTGATTTATTTCAATAATTGATAGTGAGAAGTTCTGTTTTCTCAAATTAGTTTTACAAATAAATTTTTCATTAGATTTCATTAGATTTTCTGATTTTTTAATTTAAGCCAAAAAATTTATTGCACAACAGCCATGTAAAATTTTATAGGTATAAGGTAAATTATTCTTTTAAGTGTAATAAGTCTGGTGTAATTTTAGTTTTGTTTTGTTTAATAGACCCATTGGGGTGGTTTAGAAAATGTTCCTACATACTTCAGTTAATTTTTGCAAAAACATATCTGTGTAAAAAAATAAAATATATAAATATGTGTGGAATTTTGTGAGAAAAAAAACCAGACCATAATCCGCGAATTATAAAGTTTCAGCTCATGTTGGAAGCCTCTGAAAAATTTTTCCAAAAAATCACTCTAGACCTCGTTAAAATTCTACCAGTAGCCAAAAGCCTTACTATACCCTTTCATCAAAACCAATTGATAGTATATTCTTTGTATTTCTATCAAATTTCTATCAAAATTTGTTATAAGCTGTCAACTTGCTTAGCATCCCATCAAGCCTCAATACTTTTTTACCGCGTCACAACCCATAAATTATAAGGTGTTATAAAGGATAATATAATATTGATTGAGGATATCAAGGGAATGGGCATTGAGTAGAGGAAAAGGTAAGGAAGAATAATGGAAGAAAAGAATAATATGGTGCAAATTTGTAAAAGCTTCAAAGAATATCGAGGAAATATAGTCAGTTTGAGAGAATTATGAAGAATGTTTACATGAAAGTTTAAAAACAATTCTGCTCAACCACAGAATTAATTTTTTTTGATAATTTCTCTGTATTTCTTCAGTTTTTTGTTAGTATAACTATTATTTAAGTTATTTCATTGTTAATTTATTTGTTTTTCAATCGTTTATGTTTACGCCATTTTATATTTTCATCGAATTTTAGGTTTGGAATTATAAACAGCGTCGATGTATTTTCACTCTTTTGGGTCATCTTGATTATATTCGCACAACTTTTTTCCATGAAAATTATCCATGGATAATTAGCGCTTCAGATGACCAAACAGTTCGCATTTGGAATTGGCAGAGTCGTCATAGTATTGCTATTTTGACAGGTTTTCTTATGAAATTTTTTGTTCAGAATTCATCAACCTTTACGAGTAATACTATATGAAATTAGCTTTTTTTTTTCAGGTCATAATCATTATGTTATGTGCGCGCAATTTCATCCAACTGATGATCTTGTAGCGTCAGCTTCATTAGACCAAACCGTTCGTATATGGGATATATCGGCATTGCGTAAGAAGAATGTCGCACCAGGTGGTAAAAGCGATACGAGCAAAACCCGCATAACCGCCGGCACTCAAGTAGATCTCTTCGGGCAGCCTGATGTCGTTGTTAAACATGTTCTTGAAGGCCATGATAGAGGTGTTATTCTTGAAATACGCCATTTAATGCACGTTTTTCATTGACGAATTATTCTTTTTTTATTTTTCTTATGTAACAGGTGTGAACTGGGTAGCTTTTCATCATACGATGCCACTTCTGGTATCGGGTGCAGACGATCGTCAAGTAAAAATGTGGCGTTATAATGAAAGTAAAGCTTGGGAAGTAAGTTGTAAATTTATTTATTATATGCAATATATTATTATATGCAACACCTTGTCCAATGAAAAAATTTTTCTTGCTGGTTCACTTTTGAAATTATTTAACTGTTTTTCATTGAAGGTGGATTCATGTCGTGGACATTATAATAATGTTTCATCTGTATTATTTCATCCAAAGGCAGAATTGATTCTAAGTAACTCAGAAGATAAAAGCATACGAGTTTGGGATATGCAAAAGCGAACTTGTTTGCATACTTTCAGGTTATATTTTTCGCTCTTTAAAAATTTTTTTTCGAAATTTTCCTAAAATTTTTTTAAGACATGATAATGATCGATTCTGGGTATTGGCTTCGCATCCATCATTGAATATGTTCGCAGCTGGACATGATAATGGCATGATTGTCTTCAAAATCGAAAGAGAACGTCCAGCTTTTAATGTTCATGAAAATCTTGTATTTTATGTTAAGGACAGACAATTGCGACGATTAGATCTTACAAATAAGTTAGATTTTAAAATTTTGTATTTTTAAATTTTTTACTTTGCTGTAATTTTCATAATGTTTCGTAATAATAACAGATTTTATAAACATTTCTCACCAGAAATTTATAGAAATTTGTAAAAATATTTTCCCATCATACTTAATATTTTTATCTTTATTGTAGATTATTTTTATCCTTATTGTAGCAGTTATTATTTTTTGATATTTGTCATTTATTTTGTTGTTTATTTTAGCAAGGATGTTGCTCTCATTCAATTACGAGGCAATAAGCTTACCCAACCTTATTATTCATTGCATTATAATCCGGCAGAAAATGCATTCCTTCTTGTTACTCGTGCAACTTTAGCGGAAAATAGTACATATGATATGTACAAGGTATTAGTTTGGTCTTGTTATGATTTGATGAGTGCCATTTCAATTTGATGCATTCATATTTTATTATTAAAATAAAGAATTTTTTTCAGGTTTCTAAGGATGCTCACGAGAATATTTCTAGTGATCCGCCTGAGGCTAAACGATCTCCTGGTGTTGCTGCTATATGGGTAGCACGGAATCGATTCGCTGTTCTTGATAAAAATCAACAGGTTAGATATTGTAAAATGAGTTTCCTCTATCATTTCGGAGTGCCAATGTTGGAGTTGTACTCGGCTAAACCTATTTTTCAAAAGTCTGGGTGATGCTGACGACTTCTATTTATTTTTTTCTTCTATTTCTTGTGCTTCATATGAATTCCTGGGAAAATCTGTGTGGTCCTACTAGCGGAGCGATCCTGACTAGAAATGAGCACTAAAAAAAATCTTTTCCATCGAATTAATCTTATTCATCTTCTTTTTTTTTCTTCTCTTCAAAAGCTAAATTTCATTCCTGTATCGAAATTTGATTTTCATAGATCAGTTTTCTTTACTAAATCATCAGTTTACTAATTTTTTCTTTCAGATTACGATTCGTGATCTTTCTAATAGAGAGAATAAAAAAATCGAATACAATGCACCAGTCGAGGACATTTTTTATGCTGGAACAGGATTTTTGCTTTTGAAAGATAAAGAAAGTCTACAGTTATTCGATGTGCAACAGAAGCGTGTTTTGGCAGTTGCCAAAGTTCCTCGAGTGAGTTAGGAATTTTTATTATCTTTTAGAGTGTTAAATTTTCTAGCAAATGATTACGACCGTCGACAAGAAGTCCACAACATTTCAAGAATAAACCAAACAGGCAATGTGGTATTGTGCTATCAGTTGGTATGAAAAGAAGCAGAACCAAAATTTTATTATCAACTGAACAATTTTCGTTAGCAGTGTCTAGGATCAGAAAGAAAAGTTCTTTGAATTGCTTTTTTATATATCACAGTGAAAGTGTATAAATGTTAAAGAAGTAATTGGGGAAAAGGTTTAGAAATTTTAATAAGTGCTTTGATTTTCTCGAGGTGATTGGCAATGCAAAAGTTTTATGCATATTTAAATCACAAATTAAAAATTTTTTAAAATTTCGGTAGTTAGTTATGTTCATTAAAAATTTTAATATATTATCATAAATTTATATTAAATTGATCATTTAGAATCAAATGATTATTGTAATTATCACATTCGAATTAGCAGGGATTTATATAGGAATTTTCTTCTTTAATAGTCATTGAATTCTTAAATTTTTGGATTTTTATTTGTTTTTTCTATTTTTTTATTTTTTCTTTCTATTTTTTATATACAGGTTAAATATATTGTTTGGTCAAAAAATATGGAATTCGCAGCTTTGCTTTCGAAGCATTCATTAACGGTGATTAATCGAAAGCTTGAGGTATTCATTTTAATTCTATTTTCCATTAAACGAACAGCATCAATCTAGAAGTATTATTTAGATAATGTGCTCAATACAAGAATCAACTCGAGTAAAAAGTGGGACCTGGGAAAACAATGGAGTTTTTATATATACGACCAGCAATCATATAAAATACGCTCTTACAACAGGAGATTTTGGTATTATTCGTACACTAGATGTGCCAGTGTACCTACTTGCTGTACGTGGAGATCGACTTTATTGTCTTAATCGGTTAGTTCAGCTTTCTTATTTTTCTCTTATTTTATATATCTCTTATTTTTATAGATTTTTCCGGAAAGTTTGCACCATTATCTTCGATAAATTATTATTCATTAATCATTTTTTAAGCGAAGCTGCGCCTATCGAACTTCCAATCGATCCAACTGAATACTGTTTCAAGTTGGCGCTGATCAACAGGCGCTATGATGAAGTCTGTTTCATTATGTGAAATATGAATATTTTTTATTTATTGTTTATGACAAAAGATCATTTAACAGTTCTAGGTACTGAATACGGTTCGTTCAGCAAATCTTGTTGGTCAGTCCATAATTGCGTATTTGCAAAAGAAAGGTTATCCAGAAATAGCACTCCATTTTGTAAAAGACGAGAAGACGAGATTTGGCTTAGCGTTGGAGTGCGGTAATCTTGAAGTGAGATCTTATTTTGTGCATTAATAAGTACGATTTTTCGACTGTGATTTTCCCACTATTTTAAATATTATTTTTTCCACCTTTATAAACTGCAATTTTAGGTTGCATTAGAGGCAGCAAAAGTATTAGACGATAAATCGATTTGGGAAGCACTTGGTACTGCCGCTTTGATGCAAGGCAATCATCAGGTTTAGTATTTGAGTGTTTTTTTTTCTATCATTGCTATCTTAAATCTTTGTAAAATTTAAAGTTTTAAAATTCATATTTATTTCTTTATATATATTTAATTAAATTTATGTTTATTATTTGTTTTTATATTTATTACATTTTCCATGTGGTGGAAATGTCATACCAGCGTACGAAAGATTTTGAAAAATTGGCATTTTTATACCTAATAACTGGTAATATGGAGAAATTGCAAAAAATGATGAAAATAGCTCAAATAAGAAAGGTTGAATTTTTAAAAATGTGTGCGTTAAGTTAAATTTAAAATAAGCAAATTATTGAAGAAAGATTCGATATAAAAATAATTTCCATAATTGCAATATTGCAATTGCAATAAATGCAATAATAATTGTAAGAAACTTTTATCCAACAATAATTATAGGATATTAATGGTCATTATCAAACAGCACTTTATCTTGGAGATGTGGGTGAACGCGTCAAAGGTTCATTATTTATGCTTCTTGCATTTTTTCATTTGCGTCTTAATGTTTTTCATAATCGGTGTTGCATAAAATTTTCTTGATAATTATGCATTCTTTGATCTTATAATTAAAGAATATTTCACTGATGTATTTCACAAATTTAATAGCGAATGGATTTTTTTATTTGTTCAATTTTCAAATGTCAGAGGGATCTTTCTTTGTAGTTTATCTTCTATTTTTAATACACATTGAGTAGTGTATATTTTACTACTGTATAGTAAATATTAATATTTAAACTGTAACTGTATTTTAATATTTAACTATTAATTGTATTTTAATATTTTAGTATTGAAAGAAGTTGGTCAGATATCGTTGGCATATTTGACTGCAGCTACTCACGGTATGGAAGAGGAAGCGAATGAATTGCGAGAAGATTTGATCAAGAGAGACCAAAATGTTCCTCCAGTTGACCCCAATGCTCGCCTGCTTGTTCCACCTCCTCCAATTCGCCAGGTCAGTGGAATAATTAAATGAATCTTGGTGCAAGGACAGCTGAAAGAATGGTAGAAGGAAAGATTTGAAAAGGATTATGAGGATCGAAATAAATATTTTTCTGCAAATATATATATATATATATATATAGATTTAGCACAATGAATGAAAGGGAATTCGAATTAGTTTGAAGAGTGATTAAGCAGGTGCTGATATGAATAGATTGGTAATGGATTCTCGAAATTGGATAAAAAATTCAATTTTAAGGCAAATTTTATTTTAATTGTTCATTACTGGTTGTTTTTATTACAGATGGATGAGAACTGGCCTCTTTTGACTGTAACACGCATGCCACTTTCTTCTCAACTAATTGGAAACATTCCACTCCATGGGATTGCAGCAAATAAAAGTCATGTCGCGACAGCATTTTCTGGAAAGGATATTGATATTGTTAGTTTTGGTTTAGACTTTGACGATCGACATCTGTTTGTTAAATTAAAATAATTTATATGTGATCCTTCACAGCAAAAGTAATTCTTGAATTGTGAAAGTTATAGGCGAAATTTCCAGGAAAATTTAAAGATTCCTACGACGAAAATTTTATAGCAAACTATTTATATAATTGATATTTGCATCATGTTCGTTGAATATAACATAACTTTTGAATTATGACGAAAAAAATAGTTTCTTTTATTGATTAAATATAGAGAATAATGTAATAATTTTGAACCGTTTTAAAATCCTTTATTGAAGGACGTAGGAGAGGCGTGGGGTGGAGATGATCTTATGCTTGATGAAGATGGAAATCTAGATGTTGATGAAAATGAAATAAATGGCACTAATGAAGAAGGCAATAAAGAAGGAGGATGGGATGTAGGTTTTGCTTATCATCTTATTTCTTAATTCAGTTAATAGTTTACGAATTTTTCTCCGATTAATTTAGATTGATGATGATCTTGGGTTGCCACCTGATGTTGAAGCTCGATTTGGAGATGATGAATTTTACGCACCACCAACTCGTGGACAGCCACCTTCATTTTACTGGCCTAATTCTTCGAGGTATTTGTGAGGTCGATATCCATACTTAAAGTTATTTTTCATCACATAGAAATTTGTATGTTTATTTTATTTTAGGTTAGTGGCTGATCATATTGCTGCTGGTGCATTTGATAGTGCTACTCGTTTATTGCGCAGTCAGCTTGGAATTGTAAAAGTAGAACCATTTAAGCAACATTTTCTCAGTGCTTATGCTAGGTAAGGTATTCATATTTCAATATTCATATTCATAATACATATTTCTGCTTGTATTCACTTGAAATTTATGTCTGAAACATTTATTTCATTTTTTAGGTCGCGTGTGGCTTTCGAGGGCATACCAAGTGCTGGCGTTGTTCTTTCATATCCTCTTCGAAATTGGCAAGAAAATGTTGGCAAAAGCGGATTACCAGCAGTCGGTATAAAACTGAAGGATTTGGCCGAACGTCTACAAATATGTTATCAGCTCACCACAAGTGGCAAATTCAATGATGCTATTGATAAATTAAGACATTTATTGCTTACTGTGCCATTACTAGTGGTGAATTCGAAACAAGAGGTATGCTAATTAACAAAAAAATAACTATACTTAACTATAAATATATTTTTTCAAAGTACAACTTCTATATTTTTTTTTAAAAATTCGATTCAGTAACGATTTAGGTTACTGACGCACAACAGCTCATTGAAATATGTCGCGAATACCTTGTGGGATTACTAATGGAATCAGCTAGGAAGCAGGTTAATACGGACAGCATTGACGGTGCGAAACGAAGTGCTGAAATGGCTGCATACTTCACTCATTGCCAACTTCATCCTGTATTATTTTCTTATACATTTCTGAATTATATAGGAAGAAAAGCAAATTCATATCAAGACAATTATCTTGCATCTGTTGAAAATTTGATGCTTTTACGAAGGGAAATATTTAATAGATTTTTTCAGGAATTAAAAAATATTTTTCCACTTTTACTCGAAGAAAATTAGTGCAGCTTTAATGTTAAGATTTTTGAATTGGCTACGAAATTATTTTTTATTTTAGAGCCATCAAATCCTGACGCTGCGAACAGCAATCAAACTTTTTTTCAAGTTGAAGCAAATGAAGACTTGTGCTACGTTGTGCAAGAGGCTTTTGGAGCTTGGTATTATTTTCTCTACATGTTAAACATAGTTGCAAAAAAATTAATACAGTGTAATATAATTAAATTGGCTTGCATTTTATCTAAGATTTTCGGAACTCAAATTTTTGTTCTAAATTTATCGATTTCTACCCGACAGGTCCAAGTTCTGATGTTGCTGCTCAAATTCGAAAAGTTCTCTCAGCTGCTGAAAAAAGTCCCACCAATGCATATGAGGTGAGTTTCCGTTGTAATTTATCATCAATTCGCATAAATTTTTTTTCTGCTAATGAATTTTATTTTTTACACTTGATTTTTAAATTTTGATTCGCTTTTCAGCTGTTATACGATGAATATAATCCATTTGTCATATGCGCAAAGAAATTTTCTCCTTTATATCGCGGCATGCCACAAGTATTTTTTTTCCTCTCTAATGTAAAGGACTTTTAGAAACATATTAATATCAAGTTAAGAAGTATGAAACTGAAGATTGAAGAAATTGAAATGGTACCAATATTGTGTAAAATTGCAGGTCAAATGTCCATTTTGTGGGGCTTCGTACTCACCCGAGTTTATTAAAGATATATGTGACGTTTGTGGAGTTGCAGAAATTGGTTTTGATGCTATTGGACTTCGCATTAGTAGTGTACAAGGCAATAAATAATATGTAATTTTATCCTTGTTTCTCCTAGGTTTTTGTAAATTATCGGTGGTTTTCAAGTGGTCGTCGTTTATTCATGTGGCATATATTTAATTTTGATAATTTTCACCACAATTCTAATTTTTACTTGTGCGTAATCATCTAAATTATTTGTTCTTGATGATGGATCACTTTGCTTTGTTTTTTATAACCTTTATTCACAGTGTCGAAGGTGTTTTTTTTCTGCGACTAATTTCTGTGTAATGCTATAATTCATTCTTACTTTGTTACATATGTTACATGGATATTGTGCGTAAATGCTACAAGTAGATTCAAAAATATGTTTAATATAGTGAGATGAGTGGCTTGGAGCGGATATTAACAGTCGTATAATTTATTTTCAAGTTAATTTTATTTTTATTTGATATTTTGTTTTTTATTCATAAGAATTTTTTAATTTATTATATTTTAATAAATCTATTTGAAATATATTGAAATGTTTGCTGAACGTGATTTAGTTTTTAATTTAGTTTTTATCATTTTTTTTCCAGATTTTGCCACTTTTATTTGTTGTTATTACCATTGTTGTTATTATTATTTTATCATTAATCCATTAAATTGAAATTTTTTATTTATGAAAGCTTAAAGAATAGAAGGAAATCTTTCGTAAGCATAGAAATATGCATTTTTAAATTGTAGAATGTCAAAAAATATAAAAATTAAAATTTTCGCATGCGGTGCAATATTTCACCGTAATACTGCAATGTGAAACATTTTGTCCACGTAATTTTTAATGCGTTTGTGAATAATTGTTTCGGAAAATTTATCTCGCAAGTCATTTTTAATGATGGGACTTTAATGAAATATCATTGAAAGGAGGAAAAGATTTGTGAGAGGAAATCGAGTAACTGGCTGTGGGTGTAATGTCTGGTGTGCATTTAATTGACCTCCAAGCCTGGCTTTACCTGACTTATTCGAAAGTTAAGTACCGAGAACGGAAAGATGATGTTTTAAACGAAAAATCCCAATTCCAAAAAAATCTGACCTGAACTTGGGAAATTATAATATTCCTAATAGCCTTGCAAATAAAATAAACGTTGCAAATTGCCAACGACCATAAATTACGAATCAAACTGTTTTCAAGTCTCAGTATTAGGGTAAAGCGAAATGGGCTCGATTCCCTTCCATTCTCTGGCAACAATGCGCTGATTAAAAAGGAATGGCTGATGGGATCCCTTCCAACTATATATCTATAATTTTTTTGCGGTGAAAGCATTTCAGCTTTGAGCCAATGGAGCTAGTTGAACGGATTTTTTGTAAACCAGCATTTTCATTTTTATCACTTCATTTTTTTCTATATTTTAAAAATTCCTTCTATCGATTAAGTTGAAATATTTCGATTTCATCGAGCATTGACAATGATTAATTCATTTAATCGAAATGCTCTTCTTGAAAATAACTAAGCAAAGATTCGAAGTAAAGAATGGTTTGAAGAAAAAAATTAAATCTCAACTGCAAATCATTAATTTGAAGCAACGAAATTATTTAATGCATTTCGTCTTGGCTATTTATTAAAATATTTAAGCCTAATAGCCGTAAACTCGTCGTATTCAGCGAGCAAAACAATATTATCAAGGGAAACCTCACATAATAAGCACTATCTAATTATTTCAAAATTTTAAAAGTGCTATTCTGACGGCTATTTCAGTCGGTAATTTTTTCCAGTAGTTGATATTTCTAAGGAGGATTATCCAGCATTTTTGAAATTTGCAAGTCGGGGAATTTATACAGCTTCAAATCTCTAGTGATTTTCTTATTTAAGCAAAATAACTCTATAACAACGAAAGCATTCGGAGTTAATAAGACTTGAAAAAAATGATAATTTTGCAAACAAAAGATATTTGCATTTATACATCGCAAAAAGTAAACTTCTTTTGATTAATCTTCAATTATTTATTTATAAAATATTCCAACAAAGTGTAAACGTATGCAAATATGGAATGTGGAATGGCATTTGAGCTATTTGAAAGGCTTTAAGCATGAAGTTTGGAAAACTGTAAAACTTTTCGAGCACTGTCTTCATTTGCTATGTCAGCCAAAATCAAAATCCAACAATCACTAAGCCATGGAAATCTGATAAAGCAAATCTTAGAAATTTAAGTTAACATGAAATTTGTCGCTTTTCTTTTATGCGATATTAGTCTGCCTTGACACATTTGACATTAAATTTATAGCGATATATCGTATAAACGAAAAGCATGAAGATGTGGATTCATGCCTCGATCGTTCTTCTATGTGTCTTTTGCCCGAAATTTGCCTTGGTAGGTATTTATGTTGCACTGAAATATAGAATTAAAATTCTTCGAATATTTCGTTCATTCATATTTTCTCGGATTTCCTTCATATTTAGGTTTTATTAGGATTTTTATGCTTTATATTTGTATAAAGCCAGCCAAATATATGTTCAATGCTTATTGAGGAATTTAAAGGGATTATCAACAGCATGCGTCTATCGTGATCGCAGTGTTTTAAATATGGATTGCAATGGCGCTAATTTCATCGAAAGCGATGGAGGGTTCGTTTTAAAAATTTTACCGCACTGGCTAGGAATAAATCTATCGTCTGAGTGGTACCGTGACGATTCACCAACCACCTTTTCATCCTACCACCAACACGTATAGCGAACCCAACCAGATATGCTGAACGTTAGCCACTTAATTTTTATATGATATCTCATCTGAAAAAAAAAAACTTACAAATCCATTGTTATAAGCAGTCGAAATGAGCTTGCAAATGGTAAAATGTTCACTTTTTTTTATTATTCATATGCCGACTGGAGTTATGGTACACGATGAATAAATTATTCTGCCACTGTAAAACAATAGACGATAAAAATTGATATTGCAGCGCATTTGTGTGTAAAGGGCATGAAGATTGCTATGATCTAAGGGAACCGCAGCAGTGGTGTCGACCACCAACATTATATTCATGGACGTGAGACTTTTTTCCAACTTTGCTATAAATATGCGCTTTAGAAATGTAAATTCGTGCAATTTGAAGTCGACCCCTTCTTGGTGATCTGAGACCTCTCGAACACCCAATCCACGAAATCCGTGAGTGGTTATCCAAAAGCCTTATCGTTTCTGCAAGTTGGATATCATATGAAGAAACCGATTTCAAGAGAGAAAGAGAGTTGAAAACTGAGAAGAACGGGTTCGAATATTTTTTGCGGTGAAAGGAGTAAACCTTTTATTAAAAAAATAAATTCCAATCGACTCACCTTTACCAAAGCATAAAATAATTATTCTTTTATTTTGCTTCATTTATTTATTTCCTTATTTTCTTCCTTTCTTTCGTGGATTGAAGTGGATTTTTGATTTTATAATAACGTCTATATTTGTTAAAACAATTAACAAAATAATCAACGTTTAGCAATGAAGGATGCCACTGCGATGCATATTTAAACCAGTGTGTAATTAATAGAAGAATTGGACCGAATCTCGAATACACTTATTGTCGGCCAACGATTGATTGGCACTGTCCATGACAACGATTTTCGATGAATTCGTTGGGGATTTTCCTCGTTTTTTGCATTAAAATGGCTAAACTAGAAATTCTTTAAATTTTTGACATAATTAATTTATATTTTAATAGTTAATTTTAAATAATTTATATAAATAAAATTGCTATTTTATGCTATTTTATAGTATTTATTAATTTAATCGATTTTCCATATCAAATATTTTCATAAATTTTATTTTTATACTATCGTCCATAGTTGCAACCAATAAACAATAAATGGTTTTTAATAATTACTGAATTATCGTTTCTTTTCCCAAACTCAATTAATAAAACAACAACTAACTTATAGTTTTAAGTAGAAACATTTACCATGAAACTGTAATGCACAATGCACTCACCTCGAAATAAAAAATGCGTTGCATTATAGATTATTAGAAGAACAAAGAGAAGTTTTAACATAAAGCAAAAACACTTCGCAAAACACTAACAATTTTTAAATTTATTGCATAAAATCTGCTTAAATTATTATTATTATTAATAATAATAATTAGAAATACGATTAATTATTATTAGCAATAAATGCAAATAGATTTACAATATAACAAAAATAATAATAATAAATAATGGAATAATATAAACGAAGCTTGAAACAAAACTTTCGTCTGCTTGTGCTGAGTCTTCTTCAGATTATTTCAAATTATCGTAAATTTTCTTAGTAAATTCGAGCAAACGAGGAGAGAAGAAAGAATTTCAATGCACTGAGATTTGGAAGATTTCGCTTTTTTACGCGGACTATTGGATGTTAAATTTGCGATTTATAGGAACTAATTTTTCATAATTTGCAATAAAAATATTTTAATTCAACGATATAAATTACTGAAAAAATGATTAATTCATAACGATAAAAAATCGCAGCTTTTCAGCAATTCAGTTTTTCACAATTATTAGCCGTCGATAAAATTTTTGCAGCGACAAACGGAGGGTTTCTTCTTCACCGATTAAGGAAAAAGTTTATTTTAAATATATTAGGCCCATTCTCAGCGAGAGATGAAATTCCAGTCCAGATAACTGAAGAAACTTCAATAAAGTCGAAACCAGTGGTGGAAAGAATTTCTTTTTAAGCAGTGGAAAAAGCAGTGCGAGCTCTCCTCAACCATCTTCAGATCAGAAATACCTCACCATTGTGGCCGGTGGAACCTAACCAGTAATCATGTAAGGCTATTAGAAGAGAAAAATGTTGATTCTGAATAGAATACGAAGATGTAAAAAAAAAAATGAATTTTAAATCCTCACTCAATTAATAAAAATTAATATATAATACGTAATAACCACAAATTAGGGAGCAATGTGTATCGCCTAGATCAATGGTTCTCAAGCTTTTCCCATGGCCCGCCTTGCGGAATTGCTGAACTCTGTGGTGCCCCTCATTCAAATTCAAATTTTTACTGAAAGGCGCATAACGACTGGATTGAGGACTCAACAATGGTTTAAATGAAAAAATTTCGCTCAGAAAAGTTAACTTCTTTAAAAAGTATCGCTCATCGTCACCTCAAATTTGGGCGATTAAACCTCTTTTTTTTGAAATAAAATCGCCACCATCTATCGCACAAAACCATACTGATTTACCGCTTGAAATTCTTTGATCTTATATAACCATCTCAGTTGGAGTCATTTCTATAAGCTTTACTTCCTCGATTGATTGTTTGTTCGGATTCAGATTTGCCCCTTCCATTTCTGACCTAACGAATCGCTTTCTGCTCATTTTTGAGCAAACTTCGGAGATTGCGAATTCCTCTATTCTATTCGCCTTGAGTATTTTCATGTAAACCCTCGTTAATCATCGTCCGATATCTAGTCCGATTTTTTTATAAAATATAAAACATATAAAACTTGCCAACTGGCCAACTTGTCGATTAGATTTTATTGGATAGTTTTAGTGGTACTCTATCATCGGAACTTTTGACCATTTCAGCAATTTTTCACTGGATCTTGGCATTGCTTCATGTAGGATCACAATTTCCCCCTCTTTTATTTGATGAAATATCATCAGCCTAGCACATTGCGGTGTTTTCTTTATATAATGCTGATAAAGACCATTAGAATGGAAACATTTGGTATGCGTTTGCACTGGTTCGCGATGTACTTCTCTTTCACCCTTTCGATTTTTCCACTAAGAATTTTAACTCTTTCGTATTAATCGATCCAGTGCGATTCCTCACAGAAAGCACACTTCAGTTGCTTGTACGCAGAAGTCCTCCGCTTGGTTTTTGAGAATGTCGTATTTCCTTTGGCTTGACATCTTTGTTTTTTGGACGCTATATGATTTTGACGTCTCAGCTGACCATATGCTTCGACCATTTTCTTTTACGCATAACATTCTCATAGAATAAAATTCTCATAGTTTTATCATTGTCTATTCGAACAATTTTGCCATAAATTTTTCGAAGCAATTCAGGCAATCTCTGCCAACTAACATCAATAGTGCTTCTGAATTAATGCATGACTGCGACTTCTAAATGCGACAATATTGTCAGTAATTGTCGTACTGCTTCGAAATTATCTTTTTTTCAAATTACAATTAACAACGATTTATAACCAATTCAACTCCAAATTACAACCAAATGAAGTATATTTTATAGAATAATAGGAATACTAGCAATACTACAATAATTTACCAGGGATTATAATAATAAAAACCCTCACAGACGAATAATACTACGTAAAACACGCTCTAAACATAATAATGTATAGTATGGGTTGACCCAGCACTATATATACACGTATGTAAGATTAGACATCTCCGCCTGAACAAAGTATGAGACAGTGGGACAGTGCACCTTGGCCAAGGCGGATTTAAATTTAGATCACGCGTATGTGGTGACGAAATATTCACATTCACAAATATTCACAAAAAGTGGTGTAAGTGGTGTTACATCTCTTCAGAGATCAACAACCATCTGCTTTATTAATTATTTTCAGTTCGATTGATAAAGTGGCATTTTGCAGATAAGTAGAATATTCCAGCGAAGATCATTTCATTCATATTTTATTGCACATCTGTGCTCAATTCTGTGCGTAGGGTGGACTGACAGATCATATCACAATAGGAAGAATCAGTGCCAGTCACGAGTGGATTCTTTCCTCCACGGTACTGATTAGATCATGAAGCCGATATTCAAGAGGTGTACAAATCAGTCCAGAATATAGAATCACCACTGATACGATGATTATGTCCTTTCTAATAATTATGAATAGCGCGAAATTCTATATAATGCATTGGCAATTGTATCATAAATCGGACTCAGATTCAGTGTAAATAAAACTAAAATAAATAAAAATAAAAGTTTTTTCTTCCTAAGTACCAGAAACTGGTAAAATGTCTTCATAACTTCCTTTAACCAATTTATTACGATTGAGAAAGTGGCAGATTTTAAATATTTTAGATCCCCTCATATAACACTCATGTAACACGACCAAACGGAAGGTGAAGTTTTAGTTCTGATAAATGCCTTCTTTCTTCTGGTGAAACTTCTATAGAATCGCCACTTTACAAAATAACCAACAAATAATATAAAAAGGATTTTATTACTTTATTATTAGGAGTGGTGTGGCCAAGTTCGCATCTATCTGACGGCAGGGCGTACCATCCGCTTGTATAGCTGTAAAACATAGCTGCATTCAAAATATCACCACAAAGCGTCTTGTCTCGTCTAGGTGATTGGACCATGACCTTCACAGTTCAGCGTATGAATTGATACATGTCTCACCACTTGCTAAATGTGTATTGGTTGACGAGGAGAACCAATCAGGACATGGACCGATATATTCAAAAGAGATTTTGAACGTATAGGCGGCCCAGAATAAAAGAGTGGTTTTAATATCCCAGCATCGGCCGAGCAGCTCGGAAGAACAGCTGTAGCAAGCGGAACCAGCCTAGCCAACAAGGCCTCAGAAAAGACAAATAAATAGTGTTACCAGTATACAACGCAAATCTGTACTTCTAGTCCCCTGATGAAACTGTCAGCCAATTAATACACCGGATCTAACCACAAATAGCGAAGCCTAACCACTTGCATTTATTTTAAACTGGTGAATTTCGCGATGAGAAATTTCGTTCCTATTTCATGCACCATTACTTGATCTTTCAAAATTATGAAAAAGTTTCAAATGAATAATAATAATAATAACAATAATAATTAATAATAATTGAATAATAATAGTGAATAATAATAATAATAATAATAATAATAATTAACAATAAAAATAAATGAATAATAAATGCTAAAACCTTTGTCCTAAAAAAAAATCGTGGAACAAAAGCGAAAACTGGCAGTTTTATCGATTTAATCTCCCTTAAATGGCAAAAACTGTGGAACTGCTCATTCTTATCATTCTTAATTCTTATTCTTAAATAAGCCAATTATTCTGCGGTAAAGTCTTCCGCTCGGGCCTTAGCTGAAGGGCGGAATTTATTTCGCATCTCTAAATTTCAAACACTTATTGGCGATTATTACGAAGCTATATAGCAAAAAGAAGTTACGGTTAGAGTTCATCGCTTCTGCTTGGACTAGCTCAGTCGTTTGTCTGTTAGCAGAAATTTTTGCCATGGCGCCATTTGACGACGGAAATATTAGACGGAAGTATGGGTGGCTTACCACAGCCATCCGCGTCTTTCAATGAAATTTAGCCCTTCCGGACGAAATGCTGATTCCTCCACAACACCACTGGCGCCACTGGCCGGTCGTGCTCCACTTTTATGTGCAGGGATTTCCGAAGATTTCCGTACATAGTGATCCTCCGTACAAATGTATAAATTATTGCACAAAATATGGACAAAATAAAAAAAACGTCACTTTTAATTAACTTGTCGAATTCGGCCTTATTTCATGGTAGATAAACGGAAAAGGCGAGGAAAGAGTGCTGTAAAGATTCACTAATTAAAAATCTAATCTCAAAGCGAATGTTTATGTTGGCTATGTGCCTTTTAGGGTTCATTGCTTCATTTTTTCCAAAATTTGAGGGTAATTATTAATATAAATATAAAAGTGGGATGGAAATTTGTTTGATTAATGAATTTCATCCTTTTCAGTCGAAAAAAAGGATGGAAAATTTGGAAAATTCGTCGATGTTACTATTTTTAATATTTTTAAATTTTTTAATTTTAATTGTAATTCCTAATTTTTGCTTTTATTCGTTATTCGTTATTTATTTTTAATATTTGTAAATTTTAGCGTATTTGCATTTTTTTCGCTGAATTGTTTTTGTTATTTTTTATTTTTGTTCCAATTTTACTTTCATTTCTCTCCGGTCTTAGGGATGAATTCTCCTTGTTTAGCTGACTTCATCCGGGCAGAAATTCTCTCTACTCGGCTGACTTCATCCGGGCAGAAATTCTCTCTATTCGGCTGACTTCACTCCGGGCAGAAATCTTGCTGCTTGGCTATTCCAACTTAAGCAAGAATGTTTAATGAATTCATACGTGATAAGCTCGATTAATTTGTTAGCATCAGCTCACAGTTTAAACGTATTTTTTGAATATTTTATTTAATGGTATATATCCGAAGTTCTGAAAATTTTTAGTTTCAGATATTCTTTTTTTCGCTAATCCTTTCTATTTTCCATTGTAGGTGTAATTTTGAAAATGGGGAAAATAATGAAAAATGGCAAAGTTGTATTGGTGCTTTCTGGTAGATTCGCTGGAAGAAAAGCTTTAATAGTGAAAGCGTATGATGATGGCTCTGCCGATCGAACTTATAGTCATGCATTAATTGCTGGAATCGACAAATATCCCAAGCCGGTGCGTGTTTTTTCAATTATATGTGCTTTTTACTAATTTATCTTAATTTCTGAAAAATGAATTAAATACTTTTATTCCAATTTCACGTCAGTCTCCTTTTTATTTTGCGGTTGTTTTAAAGGCGATTCTCATATCTTTCACTCAAGCGAAAAAAAATTTTTTAACTTTTCTATAATTCTATTGAGGCTTATGTTCAACACATTCAACGAAATAGGTCTAAGTGGTGAAATTGAATATGTTCAAAGAAAGTAGTCACCTGTCTTACATATCCCTCCTTGCTTATGATTATTCATAGGAATTCTGTGGTTTTAACGTTCATAATTGTTTGGCTATTCAAGTATTGTTTCCTACAATTTTATTGTTCAAAGCCAAGTTCAGTAAGCAAAATGGTTTTCTATTAATGGGAACTTATAATTTGGCTTAACATGCTTAACATGCTGTATCTTATGCATCTTGTTTATTATCACGAATGAACGCAGTTCGAAAATCGACACTATATAACCATACAAAAAAATTATATTGCGGTTTTCCTCTTTTCTCTCTTCTGTTCTCTTATTGTTTACCTATATCATTTTTGATTTCATTGGTTTCAGTCAACCCTCAATGAAACAGACTTGTGGCTGAAATTCGAATTTTCCATTGTTTTATTATTTCATGATAATAGTTTATTGAATCACATGCATCTTCCTAAATATCTTAGTATTGTCCATTTTCACGAATGATGCATTTCTATTTTTCTGCTATTACTTTCTGATTTCCGAACTTGACACACCATTTTTAAGGAAAATGGCGAAAGAATGTAAACTAATCGAGAACTTTTATGTCCTTACATTTCCTGCTTACGTTTCCATTCAAGATTTTCAGAATATTATCTGAGATATTAATAGTTATCTATATTATAAACGTTCATGAATGATATCATTGGGAAATTTCGTATGAAACTCGGATGTTCAGAAGCGAGATAAATTCAGGATTAAGTGATGGGTGTTTGATTTAAATAAAATCATGGAATTGGGACAAGAAAATCCTATCCTATTTGAGAAGTTTTTTGAAAAGCAAAAATTTATATAAATATATTCAGCTGGTTGAAATTTAGGTAACCAGAATGATGGGAAAGAAAAAGATAAAAAATCGAAGCAAGTTACGGCCTTTCCTTGCTGTCGCAAGTTATTCTCATTTGCTACCAACACGGTATTTTTCATTTTTTTCGATCATTTATTTTTAAACCATTGAATATTTGTATTATTTATGTTATACATTCTTATATGTGTACATATATATACATATATATATATATACGTCCTTATTGTATATTCTTATTCTTCTTATTCTTCCATCTTCTAAGACTATCAACTGTATATTGTTTAGCTTTTTTGTTCATTCTTTAAGCCAAATATTTCAATTTTCACTCAGTGATTCTTTTTTTAGATATTCTGTCGATATAAATTTGGATAAAAATATTGTGAATAAGGAAGTGTTAAAAGAACCATCAAGAAAGCGAAAAGCCCGTATGGAAATAAAGCAAAAATTTGAAGAACGCTACAAAACGGGAAAAAACAAATGGTTTTTCACAAAATTACGTTTTTAAAGATTCTCATTATTGCGTTGTTAAATGCTTTTAAATGAAAAACATCTCGCAAGTGCATTCAAAGAATAATATTAAAAATAATGCGATGTATTTCTTTCCGCAGTGCGACCTAAGTAGTATGAATTTTTGAAATATCTGCTGGCTACTTCCTTTTCTCTTATTCGGAAATTTTTGCGGTTCACAAAAAATTTAAAAAAGCAGCGAATTCTAAAGAAATTCTGACATAATTTTTGAAAAAAAACATGAAAATTGTTTGCGTAAATTGAAAATTGAAAATTTTTTTATGAAGCTCAAATTCAGATTTCTGAAGTTCAAAATTTTCTTCAATTTATGAAATTAAACTGAACAGGCGATGACATATTGTCGAAATTTTCTAAATGAATATAAAATGAGCGCGAATGGTAAATATAAATTAAAAAATTTAACCATTTCTCACAATACGATGACAACGAAATTCGAATAAATAAAAAATATGGAAAATATCGCAAAATAAAAAAAATACATTATTTATAGTGTGCAAAAAAAATAATGGGAAAAATATTGGAACACCCATCTGAGCGATTCAAATGAGCGCAATTTTTTTTCGTTGTTAGTTGGCGATATGTGAATTACAATCGGATTTGTACCTTTTTCGTTACGAAAAAATGGATAAACCCTCATCGCCGTTAACCTATTGAAAAAGAAAATACCTGAAAACTTTAGCTAATAAAAAAATACATAGCAAAAGCAAAGTGTCGCTTTTATCAATTAAAGAATTATACAATATTGATCGCATCAACAAAATATTTTCCTTCAAATTCCACCCTTTTTTTCTTCCACAAATCCTACCATTCCTTCATTAAAAGTAATCTGTATTGTTGCATGCCTTCACTTTAGAGCAAAGTTCACAGCCAAAATAGGTCTTTTAAATTTTTTTTTTTTTCAGCACGTATATTTCCACAGTTCCTTTTTGAAAAAATGATATTTTATATTCGTAGTTAGAAATTTCAGTAAAGTTTTACAAGTATTTTAAAAATGAATTTGATGGTTGGTTTAATTTTCCAAACATTTAGTGAGAAAAAAAGGTGCAAAATTTGAAGGGGGAACGTCACGAACCGCCGTTTCACAAAAACTAAATTACCACAGTAAAGATTCGAAAGAAAAATTTTAAATCAACAAAGAAGTGCAGCCACGATTTTTGCCACGAAACCAAAATTCTTTACTTCTTATATAATTTATAAAAATACTAAAAATATCAAAAAATAAGCATAAATACACCGTTATGTAATAACGATGAGATGAAGAAAAATTCCTTTTTCTAAGAAAATATGGAAAAATATCAAAAATTTAAAAAAATAAAACATCCTTGAACAAACAAATAAAAAATAAGCCAAAATATTTAAAAAATGCTTGATGCCTACTTAAAAAAATATAAAATAAAAAATAACTGGCAGAGTTGGCATACATATATAACTATTAATATTTATATATTTTTACATCTTCACCAGCTTTCATAAAAATTTTGCCGATTTCGAAATCAATTTTTATCCAAAAATTTTTCATCTCATCAATTTTCATGAAAAAACAATACAATAAGATGGCACAAAATTCAAACAAACTTTTCTTGATAAATAAAGAGTTCGGCCATGAATATTATTCGTCAGTGAAATACAAATAATACTAAATTCCTACTGAACTATAACCTATAACTTTCAAGAAATCTAGAAAATTCCTATAAATTTTTTTCCACTAAAGCAATAAATTTTACAAAAAATAAAATTAAGGGATAAGAATAAAGCTGAAATATTTGAACGAGGGTATACTGGTACCAATAAGAACTAATTTTTCAGTCAAGAACAAATCAAGAAAAAATAAAATATTCCATTATGAAAATAAGGATTTGTGTGTTTTGTAAAATAAGAAAGACATAAGGACCCAATAAATTTAGCAAATAACATATTTGTGTTGGCAAAGCAAAATAATTAGATATTTGCTGCATATAGATAAAAGAGGCTTGTTTCTGTTAATACTAGCTTAAAGGCCAATCGCAAGGGTTAAGATTAATTTCAATACATGTTATTAAAAAATTAGACAGACGGCCTTTTTTTGTTTTCCAAATACATCAAAAAACCTTAAATCATGTTAACAAACGATTTTTGGAATGCGATTGCCAGACGTAATTAATCATTTCATCATTTCGGTGGTAGGATTGATAATAAGCAGCGGAATCATACGAAGGCATCTCATTGTTAATAAAATAATATATTAATGATGCAATAACAATAATTTTATACCAAGTTATATTCTTTTAAATTATGTTGTAATATTGTATCCTTTACTGCAGCAAATACAAAACGAATATTTTCCGTGTCTGAAACATCAATATGTGCATAGAATTTTCAAATTTTTAATGAAATATTTTCCTCAATTAACCATCGTCCAACAGTAACATCATTCCTAGTTTAACTAATTCCATTATTAGACTAACAAGCTAGAAAAATCAATGAGGGATGAAAATGTGAAAGAGGATGAACTCCCCTAGTCATTATCCGCTGTGTCGAATTCCAGTTATTTAATTTGCATTTGACTTCTCGATATATATTTATTAAAATATTTTATGTAAATAGCTTAAAAAATTTGGTTAAAAAGTGAATAAACAAATATAAAAAAAGAAAAAAAGGAAAAGAGAAAAAAGAGCATAAAAAAACATACCAGTAGCGCATGTAAAATGAGAATAAATAATTTTATCCGCATCTGGATTTAAATCAACAAACATTTTCAAAATAAATTCTCGAGCAGCAATTGGATCCCGCGATGGACCTTCAAAAAAATTTTTTGGAACTGAATCTTAAAAGAAAGGAATTATTGCAAAAAATCTGGAAAAAATGAAAGATTTCATTGACAAAAAAGAAACCATCATATTCAGGGAAATAATCAGCAAGATGAGAATAAAGTATTTTTTCTTCTAAGAGATCCCTTTTATTTAAAAAGAGAATAACTGAAGAATTTGTAAACCACGGATATGTTATTATTGTACGAAAAAGTGCCTTCGATTCTTCCATACGATTCTAAAATTTACGACAAACAGAAAATAAAATTAAAAATAAAATTATATATATAATACAAAGAAAATAAATGGAAATTTTGAAACAAACACTTTGATATCTTCCAGCAAGTAAGAAAAAAAGCAAACCTCATTATCACATTCCACTAAAACTTGATCATATTCAGAGAGTGCGACAAGGAACATTATTGATGTAACATTTTCGAAACAGTGAATCCATTTCCGCCGTTCGGACCTCTGTCCGCCTACATCAACCATTCTAAACTATTATTATAACCAATACCAATTCACATTCCGCTCCAAATAACAAGAAAAAGAGAAGAAAAAAATATGTAATGGAATAAACCATTAGTAATCAGGAAGCACAGAAACTGACCTGAATATAATTTGTTCTAAATCAAAAGGATATTCAATAATACCAGTAGTAGGTACACGAACACGTAAAATATCTTGTTCAGTTGGTAAATAATCAGGAGCTGCTAACCTCCTCAAATCTGACAAATAACTGCAATTTTTTTTATTACCATTAGAAAAAGAGAAATATAAATTTGCAACAGATGACTGAAAAAAGAATAACTACTTACTATTTAGCCGAATCAGTTAACTGATATTCCCTTCGACGATCGTAACACTGTTGTATACCGCTGTCTTCCCATAAATCTTGAATGTATGATACATATGGCTCTTCGAATGATGTAACATTCTCATAATCTATTGCTCGTACAACATTCGCTTTATCTTGCAACTGTAATTATACTTATAATTAGACTAACAAAAACAACAGAAATTATAATAATGGCAGTAATATAATAGTAGAATATAATGTAATAGTAGAAAGAATTACATCAGTGGAATGATTTCCATATGGAATATTTAATGTATCCATAGCACGTATCATCGCTTGTATTGCCATAAACACATTCTGATAAACTAATCTAATATAACCACGTTTATCTTCATCTGAATATCCATTTCCATGAATTATTCTCATTTGCTTGATGAATGTCGATTTACCTGATTCTCCCGTACCTAAATCAAATATTTTAAATATTTTCAATAAAATTATTATAATTAAAATCATTTTTTTGAGAAGAAAAAATAAAAATTACCAAAAAATTATTACCAAAAAAAGAAATCATCAAATCATTTTAAATTATTTCAAATTTCCCTACAAACAAATAAAATTCTTCAATTAAAAGTTTGATAGAATAAATAAATATTTTCTGAATTAATATCTTTACGTTCTTAATTATAATAAAAATTGTAAATTAACTGTAAAAATTAACAAAATATAATAAAAATTAATAACTGTTTTAATATTATTTCCTTTAAAATATTCATAAAATAAGAAAAAAATCACGAAAAATATGAAAAATGAAATAGAACAGAGAAAAACTTTAAAAGAGACAATTTCCCTTATTTCATTTTAATTTTTCATTTTTCATTGACAATAAGCAAATATATAGGTTAGAAAAAAATGAAAGATTGTTGGTATAAATAATATTAGAAAGACAATAAAAATATTTATTAAATACTACAAAGTAAGACAATAAAAGTAATTTAATAAATAGGAAATGAACAACTTAGAATGAAAGAAATCGATTTCCATAAAAGATCATTGATGAGAATGCAAAAGGAAGACAAGAATTCGTTTCGAGACTCTCGCTTTTCTTATAAATTTTCTGCTTATTAAATAAAAAAGGAACATATTTCAGTTTTAAATTTTACAAATATAAATCGAAAATTTAAATTAATTTAAATTTAATTAAAATTCCAAAAATATCAAAAAACATAAAAATTTAAAACAAAAGAATACGTAAATAGATAAATTATAAATAAAAAATTTGGCAATTTTTTAAGAAACTGTATAAAAAAAAGAAATTATAAATCAGCCTTTAAAATTAAATTTAATGAAAAAATAAGAAATGTAATAAATACAAAATACAAGTAATAAAAGAGCTATAAGAAAAAAAATCGGAACAATTTGAAATTATTATAATGAAAATATAGTTTAGAAAATTTTCTTTGAAAAAATTCAATATTATTAACTTTACCAAAAAAACCACACCAAAAAAAGCTCTACGATTTTTTTCCACTATAAAAACTAAAATTCCTATTCAATGAATGCCAATCTGTCTGGAAATTCAAAACAATTTTTAAAAAATTCTTGTAATTTTATGCAATAAAATACAAATAAATAAGTGTGAAATAATGTAGGATTTAAAAGAATTTAAATAAAGAAATTAAAGATCGCTTCAGACAAGCTAATAAAAAAATTATTTAAATTGGAAGTAAAAATTCCGAAACTTCTTCGTAATATTGCTGTTTTACTTATGAAATTACGAAGAAAGATGAAAATAAAATATAAATATGATAAAATAAAAAATTGAAGCAAACCAAATAAGTAACAAAAATAAAGAAATTTACGCGCAAATAAGTGTAAAACTCTTAAAAATTTAAGAAATTTTAATAAAAAAGCGAACTTACCGAGAAGTAGGAGTTTAAGTTCACGTCTTGCATTTCGTTTATCCCTTTGTAACTGTTTTTCAATTTCTTGATTAATACGCTTCTGTTCGCGTGCTTCTTCACTTAAACAGCAGGCCATTTGGGCCAAAAATGACCCTTTCTTCTTCTTTTCTCTTTTCCTTTCTTTTTCTTTTTTTTGATTATTTATACCGCCTTTTCTTTCACTCGTTTATTAATGTTTATTATTATTATTATTACCGTTATTATTACTGTTTGTAATTAATATTACTGTTATCAAAATCAATAGCTGTCTCGTTAAATACGTCGCTTCCGAATTTTTCACGTTAACCTACGTGAATCTTCCAAATTATTAAATTATTCACGTTTATTGATTTTAATAATAATAGAATTATTGTTATAGAATATATATTTTTTGAAAATATAAAAATATATCGCGAAATAAATTCACGTGAATGAAACACGTCGAAACAATTGATTTATTCGACGACGTGTTCTGATAATGGCAAATGATAACCAACGACTAATGAATAAATGTATTAATAATACTAATAATGAAGCAATAATAACAATAGTAACAACAATAATAGTAAATTGTGCAACAGCAGCAATGTTCAGTGATAATTTTTCGTGCCAAATGATAATCGCCAACTAAGAATTAATGAATATAAATAATACATTAATAATAGAAACAACATTTAAAAATAAGATTCGAATTTGTCGTATTTTATTAATTTAAATTTAAAAAAAAATTAGAAGAATTTTCTCGCAAAAATTTAATAATTTTTTGAATAAGGATTTTTAAAATGTAAAAAAATAAAAAATAAGTTTTGATGATTTTTTATAAATTTTATTGAAAAAAATTCTGCCATCAATAAAAAACGAAAATAATTTATACACGCAAATAACCCTTTTTTCTTAGATATTTCTCTTCGATTATCTCAATCGATTTTTATCATTTAAATATTTACTCAATTAATCATTTTAAATAAGAAAAATTTTGAAAAAAGCCTTAAACGAAATGAAATTCTATTTAAAAAAGCTAAAAGATGATGAGACAAAAGGACCAGGCTGGTACCATGAGGCAGAACTACTAAACCTAGCAGAGCCAGAAAACCATTGCAAGCCTCCCCGCTCTACATCCAACAAGCTTTATTAAAACCCTCAAAAGCAAAAAGCCAAAACGCTGACTACAACAGCCAAAATCGTCGTAGTTCAAACTTTTCTATTCATCAGCAGCAAACGAATTTTTCTCTAACCACCTTGCAACTTCCTTCTTTTCCATCGTCTCTAATTTAACCCTTCTTCCCTAACCACTATTCTCATTCCACGGCTCATCTTTTTCTTATCTTTTTATCCTTTTTCTCTTTATGCTCTCTTTTTTCTTGTGCTGTTTCCTCAGTAAACTTCTCACTTTTTCTCTTCACACTCTTGCCAAACTCCAGCATCCTTCCGTAACAGCCCCAACACCCCACACCCTCATCAAATCAATCAACTCTCGTCCCTTCATTACGCATTTCTTCGATTGCGTCGCGTGCGTCAATGCATCTCTGCGACGCATATATTATACATACAGCAATTGCCTGAAAGATGTGTAATTCCCTGATTTGTATCTTGCAACTCTTTTCAACGGTAATCCATTTAGCGCCAATTTGAGCCACCTTCCCCCACCTAATCACCGTTAAGCACCGAAAGAACTACGTAGCCACCATTAAGCACCGGGAAGGGCTATGAGAAGTCACTTCAAAACGATCAATCAAGGTATTTGAAATGAAGTAACATAAAACAAAAAATTAAAGAGTTTATGTTTTTTTATTCTCAAAAATTCACAAAATAGTAAAAACAAAACAAAATAGCAAAATTTTATTTCAAAAACAATAATTTGGATATACCTGACAATAAATTAAAAGATAATTAAATGCAACGAAAATTATTAATTGAAAAAACATTTTTGAAAAATTGGCAAGAAAAAATTAAGAAAATTAGAAAAAAACAAAACTATGGAAAAAAACTTTGAAATCAATAAAAAACAAGAGGTGATTGAAAAAAATCAATGCATAATTATAATCTTTGTAGTTTAAAAATTAACGGAATTAAAAAAAAAAATACATGGAATGGACTGAGAAAACTGTAGGGCAAAACACTTTTTAATAGCAATAGTCTCCGTTCATTATAAATTTTTTGAATAATAATCCATTTTTAAAGAGTAGTATGAAAACAATCTAAAGAATTCGTAAAGAAACTGAAAAAAGCGGAAATCTTAAATCCTTAATTGATAATTAAAGTTCTTCACGAACTGAATCGACGTTTCCCAAAAGTAAATGCTGTAACAAGAAGAAACAGAAAACTACGAAGATAACAAGCAGAATAAACTTAAAAAAATGTGAATACTTGTTGGAATTCAAGGGGACTTTTTTTTTTGAAGCCAAATAATCGGTATATGAAACTTTGTGAAAATTCGACTCGTCAAAGTGATGTTTCAGATCATTAAGTTCATATGAAGAAAGAATACGCGAGCTTTCTTCACCACAGTAGTCACTATCGTCCGATGATGCATCGCCTTTACCATAAGGTTGCTGCAAAAAATTTTCGATAAGACAATCATCTTCTAAGCATCTGACCTGCCTGACTTTACTATATAGACTTTACTATATAAAATATAGAAACACACTTTTTTTTTCAACATTCCACCGTAATTCGACTGAAACAATATTCAATTTTAAAAACATATAACAATTATATATCATTATTTATTTTCTGTTATTATCATTATACTGCTACTACTACATTTTATTAAGACTCAGTGACTCTTCCCTGTCTCCAACAGCAACAAATCTGGCATCAAAAAATACGCAGTCAAACAAGCACATTAAACCAGTCATAATATATTATGATAAATTTTGCCTTGTTTTGTTTTCTTGAACAAATAAATAATTCTGTGGAGATACAGAGACCATAAAGACCATAAATAAAGAATTAAGAAAAGAAAAATGAAAGTGAATGCAGTATAGGCTAGCTAATAGCCCCTAACAATTGAAAGAAAAAAATGAAGAAAAACCAACTCTTAAGATTGTCAGCTTTTTCCGGGGAAAATCAGCAAAGTTCGATCTTTGATAGGGCATTATAGGAATCGTTTGTCGCTTCATTTCATTGTTTGGTGGTAATATGTTATTTTCCGAACCATCATGGTTTTTTGGAGGTAATATACTATTTCCTGCTCCATTAACATTTTCTAGACCATTAGCATGCGACTGAAAAGAAATTTTCCAAAAAAGATAAATAAGAAATCGAACTTTACTCATTCCCTACCAAAATAGAAGTTATTTATTTAATTATTTTACAGTATCGACAATAAAATAAAAATCGCCAAAATTAGGAAAAAACTAAAGACTAGCCAAATTTGGAAAAAAAAGGCTAACTAGAGAAAAAACAAAAATGAAGATTTCGCCTGCGAAATTTTTTTGTTTCTTTTCACGCATATTTTAAAATGGATAGAAATCACTGGCTGCTAATGAGTAATAAATTGAAAAATCAATGGGACAAAAAAAAATTGTAGAAAATGGACCGAACCTGTTCGACTTTTTCATTCGCACTACTCGTACTATCTTCAATCAGTTTTTGCAACTTATTCGCATAAACATTTCGAGTTGTTGCAACAATCGGACCAGTATTTATTCCACGTTCAAGTAGTTTTTGACGAATTTCGTTATCCGATAATTCATCAATATTCATTTTTCTCTAATTGCGTTTTGCAGGTTTCTAACCTGCAAAAGCACCAAAATTAACAACTATCTGCCAAAATTGAAATGAAGAAAACTAACGCAGAAGAAATTTCTTAAACCAAATCTTCTGCTCATTCGCTTTAAAAAAGCAAAAAAACGAAAAACGGGATTTTAAATTATTTGCTTAAAGAAATAAATTGAAATTGAAATCGGCAACTTCTCAACGAAATTATTTCGTAATTCGCATGAATTAAATTATAAAATTCGAAGAGAAAACTAAAGAAAAAAAAGAACAAATTACGTTAAAATTCTGAAAATAAAAAACTTATTAAATATTTTTATAGAAAATACGTAAAACAAAAACGAAAGTTCCCAGTTGCGAAATTTAACAGATATGCAGAAATCCATTCAACTAAATTCTTTGGAACAAACAAAAATATTTATAAATATGGAAATAAAAAAAAAGGAAATCCGACAAAAGGCCACTAAATAATCTGAAGAAACCGATAAATAGTGGCCGCAAAATATAAATCAGCTTCCCCTATTTTTCAGAGCAGCTGAAAACCACAGTTTTATATTTTTAATGTCGCACGGTTTAAATTGAATCGAATCATTGGCTTGCGAAAGATTTTCGGGTAATTTTTATCAAATAAAATTTCTTACCCATCTAAATTTCGTATTAAATTTCTAAAATTTATTTTATTTCGAATATTTTTTGGATTCTCAAATTTCCGCTGAAATAAATCTTTTAATCGCAAATATATTTGAATCCGTTTGGCAATTCTTCGCGTCTCTCACGACACGAAATTTTACGTCGATCGAAGTCGTCCGCGTCCGAACAATTTGCGGCTTTGAATGCGGCGAAGTCGAATGTTCTTTTTTATTCTCAAAAAATTTTTTATAGACGAATGGAATGGACTGTCGCATTTGCCCTCAGTTTTCCGTTTTTGTTTTGAATATTTCATATTTTTAAAATGGTTTATTTTTTCATCTTCCTCCTCGGCTTTTTTTTATGAATGGAGCGTTATTACTGCGAAAACACGCTGAATGTAATTTCGGCTGATGGCGCATATGACGTGATTGGTCGCTGCCAGGTTTTGTTCATTTTTTAGATATTTTACTTGCGGTGATTAAGAGGACTCCATCTCACCACAGGCTGTGTTAGTGTTCTTCTCGTGTAGCAGAATTAGGCCTTGGACTTTGTCTCAGGGGAATTTCAGGATTCAGGAGGAGTTATCGGCTTGTTTCTGAGTCACTTACCCACATTTTGTCTTCTTATTTGGTGACTTAATTTGGTAGTTATTTAATAAAAGAATTCTGATAAACTTTTTAAAAATTAAAATTTACAAAGTTTATTTATTTATATTTTTATTTATTTATTTATTTTATTTATAATATTTGTAAAATTTTTCGGTGATTAAGCGGTAAAATTTTTCCCATTTTTCAGAAATTCTATCCATTCTTACCATTTTTCTTATAAGTATATGCAGACTTTTGTAATAAAAAAGACTATTTTATTCAAAGTTTCTTAGAACATTTCAGTGAATTGTTGTTTCTGAAATTGTAGAAATTCGCTGAAGATTTTATTTCTGTTAAAAATTTCAGGATTCAGGGGAATTGAATTTAATTGAAACAGAATGTCATGTTGATGATTATAATATTGCTTTTCCTTCATCATCATATTCATCCAATTCACGTACTGAATATCCCTCAACAGGTCAAATTTCAACTGTTCGTTATAACGGTGTTGCAGATGCAGTTGTTGACGTAAATTCGTGCTCAAAACTTTCAGAAGTTATCGACAGTGTCATTTGTACGAATTCATTAACATATCTCGATGAAGCTGCCACAAATTTTGATGAAGTTTGATAAATTTGCTTTTGTCATCAAATTTTTTTGTCCAGATCTAGAACTTAAGATAAATTCGGATTTTGTATTAACTGAATTTGGTCAAAGTTAAGTGAACATCTATGAAGTGGATTCCTCTGATCATTAATTCTTAGGAATTCCAAAGGATTTGTCCGACAGAGTCTTCTGAACATTGGAATGCTGAAATTGGACCAACCAAGAGAAAGAAAGAAGCAACGGTTACTTTTTTTTTAAAAACAAGAGATCGTATTTGTTTTTAAAAGCTTTATGCTTTAATTTAGAAATATTTTTTATCGATTTTTTCGTAGAAATGTTTCAGAATGTGGAATAAAATTTTTTTTCAAAATTTTCGAATATTCTTATCTAGTTAAAAAATATTTTATTTTTGCAAATTTTTGCTCAGAATTTTAAAATATATAATTATTTGTAAATTATTATGTAAATTATTTGTATTTATTTATTTTTTTTATAAGAAAACCAGTAATTTTTTTATCTTTTTTTTTTACTGCAATATAATAGCAAGTTTGAGGATAGGATAGTCGTGTGAAATGTTTCGCATAAGATTAAGCATCGTAAGTTCAATTCCTGTTCATTGGTGAAAGTAAAGCTGTCATAAAAAAGAAAATGATATGCTGGTTAGCCTTATTTCCCACAAACGACTATCCGACTGTCGAAGAGATTTCGTCCTAAGAATCACTAGCCAAAGGAGAAATGGCACCTCAAAATATCGCCTTTTCTTATCTTTAGCTCTTTAGAACTATGAACCATCATCTTTTCTTCAATTTTTCTGTGGTGCTTAGCCTCCCTTTTGTTTTCTTTTTAGTTTTAATTTTAATTCATATAGTTTTGATTTTATTTTTTAGATTGTGCAGTGTGAATATTGTTTAACTGTTTTAAAGCATCCATCGAAAATTGATGCACATATGAGAACTCATACTGGTGAAAAACCTTTTCAGTGTCATATCTGCCACAGAAAGTTCGTTATATATTTTTTTTATTTTTATTTTAAATTTGTCTAATGTTTAGAAATTTCAAATCATCATATAAAATTGATGTAAAATTTCAACATAAATATTTTAAAGAAATAATAAGGAAATAATAGAAATAATTTACGAAATAATGACTGAAAAAATATTCAGATTTACACAACGTACACCATTACGAATGCATGTTCGTCGTCATAACAATGAATTGCCATTCGAATGCTCTTGGGGTTGTGGTAAACGCTTTGTGTCGAATGCTGTCAAAAATGCGCATGAGTTGAGTAAACATCTTGGTGAAAAAAGGTTTTATTTTTTTATTATTTTTGGCCAAATCTTTCCTAAATTTTCGAAACTGAATGTAGAATTTTGTGATTCTGATTGAGCTATTTCTTTCCTTGGAGCGCATTTCTTTACTTTGCAAATATTTATGTACTTTAAATATTCAAGTAATGGACAGTCAAAAATCATCGAAGACTCCCAAGGAGCTTTTCTTCATGCTGCTGTTGACCACATTATGCAATCGTATTCTTCAAATATCATGTTCATTACTGATTGCTAATCTGGTTCAGCTAATTGCAGGACATTTCCAAGGCGCTCGATCGATATTTATAAAACAAAAATCATTTTTTTTCTCCCGTCTAAGTCTATATATATTTCTGGTCATTATATACATTTAAAATCTCTTGACTCGATCACTCCAGGCTTTAACTGGTCCTCCTCGCTTTCGATGCCATCTATCAAAGAGTATAGAAAATATAAAGAGGTAAATAGAGAGGTAAAGAAGTACAGAGGTCAGTTCCTGCAATAGACAGCGTACAGCACGGCCTAATTAGTGACGATCGTTGACGATTTTGTAATTTGAAATGATTTTTGAGCGAAGATTGCTGCAGTCTTTGAGATTTTGTCCACTTGGCTTAAAATGCCGGAATAATTGATCAAATTTTGATAGCCCATTGTTTTTCGCTATCATGTGAATTTATGGTGATTGGTGATGGTGATTTCAACGATTCCAAAGATGTTCGTGGATAGAAGATAGGATCCTAGCATCTGTTTAAACTGAGATTTCGTCTTTCATTTGGCCATGTGGTATAAGGGTGGATCCAAGATATTTGAAATTAGTACTTCGGTGATAAACTTATATAAAATATATTTTATCACCGTATATACGTCGAAAAGATTTCTATATTGTTTATACGTAAATATACGATGAGTTCGATTTTCGATGCAATTATCTATGTTTATTATTTACAATATTAGAAGTATTGTTTAAAAAAATTGTTTAGGATTTTTTCCCAAATCTTCATTTTTAATATTCATATAGTTTATGAATGGCTAAATGCATGCCCATAGCCTTAGAAAATACAGGTAAGATAGCCCCGTTATTGTGAAAATAATTTTGATCTTTCTTTGGATTCTTTGAAGAAGCCCAGAGAAAGAACTCTGAGAGTTCTTCAGACCACACTTTAAGAGCCATTACAGAGCCAAAAAGAGTTGTTGGCATTATAATATTATTGAAAATATTTTACGAAATATTATTCATTTGCTTTAGGTTCTTTTTGATCCAATTATTTTTTTGAATATTTAAAATATTTTCTTGTGAAAACATTCAGACAGGGACCTCCTCAGCCACATTTAAAGCCACCAAAATGCTTTATTCCCTTGCGGAATTCGGATTTATCTGCGGCACATGGGCATTCTTCAATACTGGATTGGCAGGTTCCTCTTGGTGAAATAAAAGTTCAACGACCTTTATCTGCGGCTGCAAGTAAAAAATTGGATGATGTAATTTTTTCTTTTTTCTTTTATCTTTTTTATTGATTGTAAAATAATTGGATCTTTATCTAATTTCATTTGAAGAAGATTCTTTCTTAGAAATTTTTAATTTCCCATTATACGCTTTCAGCTATAATGTACCTAAAAGTATTTTATAGGTGATTGACTCGGTCGCTAGTGGAATGCCATTATCTGAAAGAAAAAGCCGTGGTAAAGGTTCCGTAACGATTGAATGTCATTTATGTGGTCTTATCCTCAAATATCCTTCTAAAATTAAAGCCCATATGAGAACGCATTCGGGAGAACGACCTTTTTTATGTGATCATTGTGGAATGCAATGTTCAACGCGAAATTCTTTAAGAGTACACATACGGCGTGCACACACAGGTTTTAATAACTTTTCCAAAAAGAAATTTTTTAATGAAATACTTAGTATGTTAGTGGTTAGCACCCTCCGTTTATGGCTTATTCTTGCCTATTCTGCTATGCTCACTTAGGCGCTCTGACCAGAAAATCGTTTGGAGATAGAAGTACAAGTGGATCTTTTTATTAACCAGAGAATTGGTCATTTTGCTGCACGTTTAAAAAATAATCATTTTTTGCAAATTTGAAATTTTCATTTCATTTCATTTTTAAACCTCGCTGATCGATTCAGATGAAAGGCCGTATGAATGTACGTGGGAATGTGGAAAAAATTTTGTTACCATAGCTGCAAGGAATGAGCATGAGCGAATCGTGCATTCGGGAATAAAAAGGTATTAGCCTTCAATCTTGTTGAAAACAAAGTGTTTTCGTTTAGCTTGCATATTATTATGTGCTAATAAAAAATTATTTGTATATCAGTGATATAGTTCCAAAAAGTAATAGAAAAAACCTTGTAGAAAAATTAAGTGAAATTTTAATCAAGTGAAATTAAAAATATCGCTTCTATTGAATTATTTATTTATAATTATAATGAAGTAAAAGTTTGGGTTATGAAAATATGATGAATTCAGGTATATATGTACTGTTGGAAATTGTCGTCGTTTATTCACTCGTCGGCAGTATTTACTTGCGCATAATACCAAACATCACAGTGATATGTTGCCCGGTGTTAGCGATTTGCCTGAAAATAATTTTACTTGTGAAAGTCCAAAAATACGAAAAATTCCTTCGAAAATTTTTGAGCGGTTTGTTAAATTCATTACATTTGTTTCTTTAGCCGGGTATTCAGATTGAATTACTTGTATCGGAATTTTTTTTTAAGAATCTTTACAATTACTGGTTAAACTCGTTCCACTGGCTTGCCGCATTGGGCAATATGCCAGGGGTTCTCCTGACGATAGAAATACAGGTGAGTCGCTACACCACCTGGGTTTTTGTACAGGTTTATCCTGCGGGGAACCGAACCTCTGCATCGGTGCTTCCAATTGAGCAATAACCCACTGAGCCATTCTTTTCTAGTTATCGGAATATCAATTTACCATTAATATTACCATTAAAACTCTTTTTAAAGGTCGCTATCAAATCGAATGTATGATCGTTGTACAGCTGAACAAGGCAATATAGATATAACCATAAGTAACGTTGTAATAAATGATGGCCAACGATTAATTTCTGGCACATGTGATGATATAATTTTGTGTGATGCAGAAAAGGTAATTCCTTTATCCTTATAGCCCTATATTAAATAAAGATTCAAAATATTTTGGTACGAAAATCTCATTAATGACGCTTTTATTGTGGTTTAAGAAAAAACTTTTATGGTTGCTTGACGATTGGTTAAAAGTGAGTGTTATGATTAAATTATACTACTTTATATTACTAAACATTGAATTTTATTATTTATTCAATGTTATGACATCTTTAAAGAAAGAAGCAAGCAGAAAGACCGGGTAGAAATTGTTTTTTCATATATACTTTATTTTTTATTGCTTTGCTTCAATTTTAAATTCTTCTAATCGCCATCTTATCATTACTGGTTAGACTGGCTTCGCTGGTTACAAAAGTAATACATCTCCAAGCTGTTCGCTCCGCCATCGCTAGCAGTAATAGAAGCCATTCCTCTTTCCATCATCTAAGTCCATATGTCGCTGGTTCCCTATACGTTCAAAATCTTTCCTGACTGTATCAGTCCAGATCTTGATTGTTCTTCATCACTTTTGACGCCAACCATCATAGGGTTCAGCAAGTATCGAAATATCGTCAATTCCTTTGGTAGACAACGAAGAACGTGTCCTAATTAGCGAAGGCGACTCTATGTGATATTATTAATACAGATGGTATTTGAGTGAAGATGAATGCAATTATACGCGGTTTCATCCTCTCGATGGATCCGTAAAATGCCACGAGTGATCGAAGGATTGATAACTTTTTAATATCTTTCACTTTCATTGGCCATGTTTCGCAGCCATATAGCAAGATCGAGCGAACTTCAGCTATATAAACGCGGATTTTCTTCTCTATGGCAATTTTAAATTAAATTTTTGTAATTTAAACCGTTTCCCAGTAATGTTATAAGTGATTTGATTTTATATATAAGTGATTTTTATATTTTTTTAAATTTACATTCATTTTTAAATTCATTTTTAAAATACTTGAAAATAAAAAACGTTAATTTCAGATAAATACAAACACTGATTCGTTTGAGTCTCAGCGTTTCTGCAATGAATATATTATTTATGAAGTAATAGATGAGCCAAATATTTTGTATAATCACTGTATTAGCACAGATCCGAATGCTGATATCAGTGATCGCATTCAAATTTTTTGTGATGAAACATCATAGCTCTCTTTCAAAAATTCAATTTTTTGTAACGCAATTTTCTTTTTTTTTCCTTTATTTATCACGAAAATAAAATTAAATATGGAAGAAAATAATTTCCTTGCAATTTCCTTTATCTCTTATATTCTCTGTTAGAATTACAATAATTATTTTGTTTTTTAATTCATTAGTCGATTAATCAATTAATTACTATAACTTTGATAAATTACTGCAAATATTATTGGTAAATTTATCTTTCTTTTATTGATTATTTATCCAAATTTATTATTATTCTTTTTCTTTTAACATCTCTGACCATTGCTGGTTAGGCTGGCTCCACTGGCTACGAGATAAAGGTCTCCAAGCTGCTTGGTCCGACGTCATCGCTAGTAATAATAGAAGCCATTCCTTTTTCCATCATCTAAGTCCATATATCGCTAATCCTTCTATACGTTCAAAATCTTTCCTGACTGTATCAGTCCAGGTCTTGACTAGGATTGGCCCTCCTCGTTTTTGGCTTAAACTATCATAGAATTTAGCAAGTAACGAAATATGCGTCAAATCCTGCAGTGGACGACAGAGAACGTGCCCTAACCAGCGAAGACGACGTTTCGTGATAACATTATTAACACATGCGGTAACTGAGCGAAGATGGATACAGTCATGTGCGATTTTATCCGCTCGACAAATCCGCAAAATATACCTTAGGTATGAGTGGCCAAAGGCTGATAGCTTCTTAATATTTTCCACTCTCATTGGCCATGTTTTGCAGCCATATAGCAAGATTAAACGAACTGTAGTTATATGGACTCGGATTTTCGTCTTTATGGTAATTTCGCAACGGTTCCAAAGAAATTTCGTCAGCCGGAAAAATATTTCTAGCTGTCGTTATCCAGGTTAAAATTTCATCCTTCGCCTGGCTATTTGGGATTAGAGTGGATCCAAGGTACTTAACACTTCCTCAACCGGCAATGAATTTATATAAAGAGGCATTTTATCAGAGGTATTCTTGTAAAGTGTATAAATACTATATAAAGTCTTTCGTTTTATTTTTCGTTTTTCACATTGACCTTGAGTCCGATTCTCGCTGCAGTTGCTGACACGTTGTTTAACATTATTTGTATTTCATTATAACAGGACTACATCATTAGTGCATTTAAGATACTCTGGACTGATTTTTTGCACTTCTTGATCCGACAAGCGGTGATCCATTATCCAGTCTATCACATAGTTGAATATTGCAGGGGATAGAACGCAGCCATTACGGACACCAGTTCTTATTCCGAAGGAGTCTATCAGTTCCTCATATAGACCTGTGTCAGGATATGCTGATAAAATGCCTTTATATACCTTTATGGGTCGAACGATCTTCTCTGGAATACCGTCACATTCCATCACTTTCCGGAGCGCTGCTCTATCAAGGGAATTAAAGGCAGCTGCAAAATCAATAAAGGAAATGACGGTGGGTTGCTTATATTTGAAGCGATGTTCCTGCGCAAATATCTGCACAACCGCGTCCCGTTTTGAATACAGCTTGGTTAGAACGCATTCTACTGTCACGTGTTGCATTTAGCAGAAGGGAAGCGAAAATTTTTCCGGAGATCTTCAGTAGGCTGATCGTAGCACATCCTGTCATCTTTCTTAAGAGTTGGAAACAGCATTGCTTTGCTCCAGTCTTCTGATATTATTTCCTTTTATCATACCAGAGAATGAATTTGTTGAGTTATGAATGATGATGGATAATATTCGAAGAATTTGACCCGAAGACGATCTTCTGTGGGAGTTTTATTGGTCTTAAATTTATGGATTATATAGATTATTTCCTCTTCACAGTTGGCGGTCCATCCACATTTGTAAATGTTCGTAATTTTCGATGAGCCAAGCATTCATATCCAGGATAATAGCGTATCGTGGTTAAGTTTGGCCTCAAAAAATTCTTTCCATCTGAGACGATTCTTAACAGGCGCCCCATTAATAACCCGTATCATTTTACTGACTCTTTCTCCAGTTATAGTTGCTTTGCGAAGAAGGCGAAATAATTTTCTATTATCACGTATTCGAGCCTCTTTCTCCATTTTCAAGGCCATATCGCTTCAATAATGATTTCTGTTCCACAGTGGTGCTGTTGTTGTAACGTTGTAATTGTAATTCTTGAAGCACCTCATAGTCAGGATCTCCTGACATTCGGGCATTAGCAACTTTTTCAGATAGTTGGACAGTTGCTTCCTACACCCAACTAGCGCACTTCTTACTAATATACTCTAGTGTGGAAGTGGCCGACTTTGTAAGCATGTCTTTAGTTGGGACCAGTATTCATTCGCCTTTTTAAAGATGTCATTGACGTTAATTTCACTGAGGTGTTCCAATAATACGGTTTGAAATGCGTTTATTGCTCTCGGATCTTTTAATTAGAGATAATTGAAAGATCTTGGGATATTTTGTTTCTTACGAATTGCCAGTTTTACACGAATCTTGGCTCGAAATATAATATGATCCGATCCATGGTAGCTACCAGTTTCAGCACCCTGATAGCAACGATTATCAAGTACAGAATTCTTCTAGCATAACTAACCAATATCTAATTAATTTGATTGGAATATTGGTTGTCTGGAGAATTCCATGTAACTAGATGTACATTCAATTTATTTTAATCGTTAATTTGCCTTTATTTTAATTTATTTTAATTTATTGTTTAAAAAAAAATTAAAAGTTTAAGAGGAAGTTTAAGTTCAAATTTATTATTACGGCGATTTATTGTGAATCGAAGAAAACTTTCGTCAAAGGCCAAAGTGTCGGCTAAAATCGTTGCGAACTGATTCTATCAGTGCTAAATACATTGCAACTTTTAAATAAATGTGAACGAAAAAGTTTTTAACAAATTTTACTATTGCCATTTTCGACGTTTGTGATAAACACGTAAATCTGGCTTCATGAATTGAAAATTGCAAATCTGCGACCGTCGTATAGAAATTTATAAATTACGGGCTTGAGCATCTGCAAAAGAACCACAAACGATACAGAAACGAACTTGAAAATGAGCTCAAAGACAGACGCAGCGCATCGTTGGATTGGTGAAAAAGGTGGCTATGACATCGGCACATACTTTAATAAAGTCGTGGAAAGAATCGACTTTTAGAGGAAAACCTTTTAGGCGAATCGCCAGAAATGAGTTTTCGAGAAGTTTTTATTGTTTCCGCAAATTTTGTTAGCGTCAAAGAAAAATCGCGTGAAATAGCGAATAATAGCGGATTTGAGCGAAAAGTTTTTCTGAATTTTTTTTCGTTCTTTTTTTCATTTTTCCACCAAAAGATTTTATTTTATTTTATTTTGCCTTCAAAGACTTTTCTTTACTTTTTTAAAACTTTTAGAAACGAATTTTTTTGATGAAAGAGGTGGAATATTTATTTCTATTTTAAGAATCTTTTTTGAAAGCAGATTTAATTTTAGGTTTTCTCTTATTGTATGGATCTGGCTCAAAGAAATCTTTTAATCCAGGTGCATCGCTATTTTATTACTTTTCAATTATTTTTCTTTTTAAACGATCGTTAGTCGTTTTTTATTTTGTCATTTTGTTGATGTTTTCAAGGATCCGAAATTTAACCAAAATTTCACCCAGAGGTAGAGTGTAATTGCCGTTTGTTCGATTGGGTGCAATGTAATTGCGAAGGGATGCTAGTGGATTTGAATTATATAAATATGAATAAATCTTTCGATATCCCTTTTCTTTTAATTTCATTATTCTGCTTTTTTAAATATTAATTAAAAAAGAAATGAACGATTTTTTCAAAGGAAAATATCGATTACGCATCGCAATTAGAATTCAATAATGGAAATGATGAAAGAATTAAACTGGAAAATTTACCAGTGAAAAAGGTTTACTTTCTATTTTTATTTGTTATAAAGATTTTAACTTAAATTTTAATTCTTTTTAATCAGAATTTCTAAAATGAAATTTAGAAAATGTATCGTATGATACGACGACAACCACAAAAAGTTTTGTATTGTCTGGAATGCGATAAAAGTTTTAAATATCCTTCAAAACTTGCCGAACATATGAGAACTCATACTGGTGAAAGGCCATATCGATGCGAAATATGTGGGGCTAGATTTACACAAGGAAATCCTTTAAAGGTAATATAAATGACGGTAGATTGAAGGGTGAGGGTTATTGGATGTGTTGTCTCACCCAGTTTAATTTGTTTATTGCATTAAGGATGATTTGCGGGGGTGATATAGATAGAAAAATTTATCGATTTATAAAAATAATAAAGATTTATAAAAATATTCGTTTTTATCTCCTCATAACAGATGGTAACTATATATTTGATAATAATTTTGAATTTGGTCTTATTCAAATGGCTACAAATCGTGCGATTTAAAAATAAATTCAGGCACATTTGCGTCTTCATCGTGGAATTAAACCATATTTATGTACGTTTTGTAGACGTGGATTTTCTACTAGTTCTCAACGAAAAACGCATGAAAGGATACATCTCAAAAACATGTAGATACTAATTATTATATTCCCATAAATATAGATTGTTGATAGTGTTTTTTCAGTAAATTCAGTTTTTTCCTGTTCCAAATATGATCATTTGTTTTAGTTTGTTTTGTAAAAAAATTGGAAAAATTCATGTTTTTAAAGGCTGCTCTTTAAACGATTATTTCATAATTGATTATTTTTATGCAAAATATGCAATGTCGATATTTTTATGATATTTTTTTTAAGAATTTGTTTTTGTAGGATGAGTGATAAAAAGTCAGATTATTCAACCTCTCTTAGGCAAAGTGGGAGAAAAGGAGAAAAGGTTATTTTGACTTTTTTCTCTCTATATTTCTTTTATTTCTCTTTTTCTATATTTCTTTTTAATTGATTCTTTTTTATATTAGAATTTCAACATATATATTAGTCTCTTTATATTCAAAATTGCAAGGCATGAAATCGAAGAAAGTGATTCTTTATTAAAATATTTAAAATTATTTAAAGCACTTTAGGTTAGTTCAATACGAAGAGCGACTAATGGAATAAATGGGAAGAGAACTGTTAAGGCTTTTGAAGAATCCATCGTTAATTATGATACGAATGAGGTGCTGGAATTCTACTCCTGGAAGCCATCGAATGTCATTTTTTTCAAATATGATTTTCAAGTTTATAATTTTATCTAACAGAACTATTTTATGGTAGAAAATATTTTAATTTTTCACATTAAATATTTGATTCATTTAAAGATACTGAAAAATGATTATTTTAGTCCAGTGTAAATGATTTTGGAAACCAGTCAAATTTTGAACCCGTGGAAGAGGTAGCAGTGGATGTTGAAGAAGAATGTCCTGTTGAAATCCATGTAAGTGATTTAACTTCTTTGTGCTTCCTTTATCAATTGCATTAGTTTCTAAATTTTTCTTTGTAGAGGTAATGTGCTGTTTGTGCTACAGATTAATGCCTCATTTGTTCGTTATCGCTTGGCGATAACAGTTGAAGATATGCCTTTAAATATCTATCTGATTTAGTGGTCAGCCAAATTTTGATGAGCACTATTGGAAGCCTTTTCCCATTCCTTTTATACCATATCTCGTTTTTTTTGTTTTTTTTAATGCATTGATTTTAAATTTATTATTTAACTATTTATTATTTAACTAATTTTATTTCCTTTATCTTATTGCAACCATAAGATGACAAATGCATTTGTGGGTGTTTATCTGTTATAAAATTTGGCACCCACAACAAGTCGATGGAAAAATTGCACCACTCTTTCATTTTTACTATATTTTCACAACTTTATAATTTATTTATAAAAGCTTTATTTTGCATACAAATATTGTAGTTGAAAAAAACCATGAAGTGTACTAAATACTGTTGTATTCATTCATATAGTATAAAGTGGGAAATATTTCTTTGCTATTTCATTTTCTTGGTGATATTCTTTCGCTGTATAGTATTTTTTTCTCCTATTCCTTTTCTCCGATTAGTATTTTTTGAACAACAGTTTTATCTGAAATTTTCCTTATTACTTCAAATTGAAAATTTTCTTTAAGGTTTCAAATTTGGCAAACAAAGAAACCTCAATGAATGAAGCTGAAAGCTTGCTTGCTAATGAATTACATTGTCAAACTGATGCTGAAGATCGGCCAAATTTTTACTTTATGTCGTTAGTCAGCGGTGAACATCTTAAAGAAATTGGTTTACGACATTTTCATCGTCAAAGTATTTAATTCCTTGCTATTTATTACCTTACTATGGAAATCTTTTGCCAGATAATTTTATTATTGTTTACATTCTTTATCTCCTTTAGTGTCCTTTCTTCTATTTCTAATTCATTCATATTTCATTTTTTGACTTTTATTGAAATTTGGTGTATATTTCAGTAGAAATGGATTTCCCGCAGTCTGTTATTTATCCGATGAATGACTCAGCATCTGATAACGATAGAATTTCGGTGAATGATCGACTATTAATTAATTCGAATTACATGGAATCATCTACGAGTGAATGTATTTTTGTGGATCCAAATGCTGAAATGTTGAAGCCAACAGCTGAAGAAGAAGTAAAATTTTTTTTTCATCATGCGAATTTCTGGTAAAGGGAGTGATAAAGAGAAAACCCTTTTTTTCAGGTTGAAACGACTGATGAATTCTATATTGATTTTGAGAAAGAAACTGCTGAAAGCGAGTCTGAAGAATTTCATTCCATTTCTCCCAGCTGGTCATCCTTCATTAATTTTATCTTTTCCAGTGACTCAGAAAAATTTGTTCGGATCATTGAGATTAAAATGGGAAATTAAATAATTTCAGTTATAATTGCGGCGAACAGCAACAATTGCCAATTTGCAAAGAAGTTTATTGTATGGAAGAACCATATACCAACGTTCAGAATCGCTCAAAATATAAATTTCATTTAAAAGGTTCAATAATCGCAGATCCTCGACCGCCTCGACGTGGTCGGAGAACATTGAGGCGTGCAGATACTGCTGCAGTGGTATTGATTTCAACGGAAAATTTTATTACAAGAAATCATTTCCTAAAACAATTAGAATAATTCCTCAAATTTTAATTCCCATTTTTCATTAGTAAAAATTTCTGTAACTCTGCATTACAGGTTGAAGTTGACAATGCTTTAGCTGAAATGGCAGCTCCTGTTAAAAGTCTAGCATATTTGGATAAAGCAAAATTTACGAGAAATTGTAACTTTCGATCTTCAAAGAATTTAGATTGGATTATAAATACTGTCGCTAAAGTGCAATTTTACTTTAATTTCAAAAAATTTTTTTTATTCCTATAACTCTTTTTAAGATCATTATTATTAATATTTTTGTTTTTTATTGAGAAATTAAATAAAAGGAAAATTTGATTAAATCAAATGGTTTTTTTTTTATTTCCGTTACTTTCCAAAAGCTATAGTACACCTGAGTTTTGAACTGAAATGGAGGGAAAATCTTATTAAATTAGTTGATTCGACGATCGCATTTATTTCTTTTGAGTCGTCACAGAAGTCTCTATTTTCTAGATGCCGATTAATGTTTCGGTCAGCTAAGGTTATGAACTTTGATCACTCAAGGTGAAATTTAGGGAGAAAATATTGATTCTGCCTGTTCGCACAATCGTCGTAAACCGCAAATTCATCAGTGTGAATATTGTGGTCGAGTTGACAAATATCCTTCAAAAATTCAGGTGAATTACAATTTCTAATGTTGTAATTATTAGCTCGGTGTTTAAATTTTATTTTCAACCAATTGATTGCAGTTTTCGATCATTTAGGCACATATGAGAACTCACACCGGTGAAAGGCCATTTCAATGTAGTATATGCGGAATGCGTTTTGCGCAACGAACACCTATGAGGATGCATGTGCGACGACATCTTAATCACAAGCCATATATCTGTGATATTGATAGTTGTACAGAGCGATTCATAAACGGTTCATTACTAAATATGCATCAAAAGATGAAACATCATGGACAAAAATTGGTAATATTTGAATTAAATTCTAAGTCTAAGTTGTTAAAGTATTCTTATTTTGACATCCGAGTTTATAAAATATTTTTATTCTATAAGATGGTAAGGGAAATTTTTTTTATAAAACATTTTTATTCTATAAGATGGTAAGGGAAATTTTTGAATAGCTTCCGAAAGTGCTTTTTTTTAGTTAATATGCATAAATAAATTTTTAAATGCGTTTTTTAGAGTTTTATAGAAAGTAAACCAGCAGCAGAAATAAAGCCTTATGATGAGCGATGCTGTATTAGAATCACTGATCAGATTTACTTTGATGAACAGGTGATTTAATCGAAATAAAATTAAAAATCTGCTTGAATGATGGAAATAAAATATTTCTGCTATAAAAAAATGTTTATAAATATTTTCTTAAAATTATATTAATAAATAATTTATTGAATAAATAATTTATTGAATAAATATATTTATTCACTCTAATCTAGAATCTAATGCATAAAACAGATCCTTATCATTCATAACAACCATAATGACGATGATTATGAATTTGTGATAATCAATGATGATGATTATGAATTTGTTGGTGATGTCATAAAAATGTTTTAGTTGCTTTTTCAATGAAAGATTGGTCGACATATGTTTTCAGCTGAACTGTTGAGAATATTCTGCACTTTTATAGTGCATATTTTTAAAATTTGGTTCAATTTTAGAGTTACATTAATGTCTATTTGAAATCAGGAAATAAGTGAAATCCATTTGTGGGACCATGTTAAAAAATATTTTTTAAAATGTGTTTAAAATATATGAAATTATATATTATTTATAAAAGTTTGTAAAAAATATGTTTGGATATTTTATTTTTATATATTTTGTATATATAAAAATATATATTTTAAAAAATATGTAGATATATTATTAATTACATTAAATTATATTTGATATATTTGTTTTTTTACCTACTTTTTGCCGAAAAAGTAACTTTTTTCTTGCTTAACAGTACGATATATTATTGGTTGAACTATTAAAATTTCACTTTAAGATTGCGAAGAGTCGCAAAAAGAATTAACTCCAAAAATTAAAGAATTGGTTTGGAAATAGGAGCCGAATGTATGACATATATGATTTTTGTATGATTGAATTTTTATAAAATAGGCTTTTAGTGAAACAGGTTTTCACATAGAAAAAAAGCAAAAGCAATCGTTATAGCTGTAAATAGCTGGGCTAAAGTTTTAGCAGGAAGACACTGGAAGGTAAGCTGCAGGTAAAATACACGGAATTTGAGTGAAAAGAAGCATTCACATAATTTATGGATGCAGTTACAGCCGATTGAACTGATTAATTATGTTCGGGTCATACTCAATCATTGTTTGCAAAAACGAATATGTTCACCTCTTCGTCGCCCCATTCATCACCACATTTAAAACATCTTAACAGCACGTTTTTTATCTTCTTCATCTGGTATTTCGTGATCTGTAAGCTGTTGTTCATTGATTTTTAAACCATTTATATTGCTTAAATTTATTTGAAAGGCTCCTGTCTTTGCAAAAAATTTCTACCTTTTATTATTAAACTGTTAAAAATTTGGTCCACAGTTGCAGTGGTAAGTCAATTTTTTATCACATCACGTTATGCTCCACGTCTCTTATCTTTATCACGTCAGTAACCCCCATTTGTAATCGAAGCGTATGCTTTGCATGTATACTGTAACATAAATTTGAATATGATGTTATTATTGTTAATTTTATCATTAATTTTAATATTAATTTTATCACCATCGTTTAGAAGAGCAGATTGAATTATTAATTATTATTTGAATTGGATAAGCATATATGCAATTAATAAAGTAATTTATTATAAATTATCTCTCATATCCCTTCGTTCTAATAAAAATCACGGAAGTGTATTTCTCAGTTTTTTCAAAGGAAATTATTTTATTCGTAAAATTAATAAAATCTAAAATATGAAAAAATATGACAATTTTTTTAAAAAAAAGATTTTTATAATTTTTTATATAATTTTTTAAATTTAAAATTTCATTAATCTCTAATTTATTAATTTTTTCAAAAATCAAAATTTATTTGGCTTCATTCATATAGCAGAATAATTTCCTCATTTTTGGTAGTAACTAACAAAATTTTGCTGCCAATGAAAAGTCCGTCTTTGCTTTTTGTATACATTTTTGGGCAAATTTATTCAAATATTAGCAGAAACATTTTTGAATTATTAATTGTTGCGCTTCAATTGTTTTACTTTAAGTGTTTCATGTATTCTTTTTTTTCATATTGCATTTTCAACAACGTGCGAAATCAACTTTCAGATAAGCTAATCAAATTTTTGCTTCATTCCCGGATAGCTTTTGATAAGAAGACAGAAACGCGCTATTATAGGCAAAATTCGAGTGTTGCGAGGGAGCGAATTCGTATTTCTGCCCGCAAATGCCCTCCGTCGAAAGGATTTGATTAGCAAAGGGCTAAGTGGCGACAGAACAGTGCTCTTAGTCTATGCCATTTCAATAAGGACAAAGATGATGCTATAATAAAAAATTAGTTCTAATCCCGTGAATTAAGAATGATTGATAATTTATGAATGGAAATGTTCGCGAAAGATTGCGTTTACCCTTATATCGAGTTAATGATTATTTAGATGATTGCATTACGCCATAGGACAGTTTCTGAGGAATTCAGATATTGAGCGGATCTTTTTGATGTGTAATTGATATTTGAGTTTCAAGAATACTACAAAAAACTTACCGCTTCAATATTTACTGTATTTCTGTAAAGAAATCTGATGGTTTTGCCCCGAGGATTTTTTGCATCATAGCGGTTAATAATAATTGTGTTTGTGGATGAGCAATCTGTCACTGAATGACGAAAATATCTCTTTGAAAGTCATTAAGTCATTTTATATTTCAGTTAAATGAGTTATTATTTAATATCAATATATTATTAAATAATATTAGCAATTAACCTATCCATCCATTCTTCTATCTTTTTCGTAATTCCAAAATTATTAATTATTTTCGAAATTACCAATTTATTGGATTCTTCCTCTTCTAACAGGCAAACTCACCCTATTTTTAGTGGTTCCGAGTTCCGATTGTCGGCTGTAGAGATAAGCGTTCATTGCAATTTTTTTCATAAAAATGGCACAAAGTTTTGCTTCAGAAATATATTTTTTAATTTCTTTCTTACTTACTTTTATAAAAAATGCGAAAAGTGGTTGTTTCATTTACTTAGAGTTTCTTACAAAAATCTAGCGGACAGTGTGTATTCGTTTTTTTCAAAAAATTAAGATTTTAATTTGGCGATAAACGAAGCAACTTTAACATAGATTCAAATTGTGAAAGTTAATAAAGTGAACCATTCGCTGAATCGTTGAATATTTCTAAAAATATATATTTTATTTAATTTAAATCAATTATTAGATTTGTTAATTTTTGATTAAACGATGAGATAGATCTGCAGTTGATAGATAAGCAGAACACAGGTTTTGTATCTAAATGATTGCATGTAATTGTTGGATTGAATCAGTGAGTATGCGAGGCGATATTGACGCACGACGGATAATAGACCAGAAGCACCGAAACAAAGTGACTGATGAAGTGAAAATAATTGAAAATGGTGAGATTTACGTAATCAAGGCAATCGCGAAAGTCGCATAAACGATTCTCGAAAAGGAACATTTTAAGATTTATCAAAAGATGAATGAAGCATGAGTAGTAATTACCTTTTGTGTAAATTACTCTTTATTAATAAATCTATTAGATTGGTTTAAAATATCTTTTGCTTGCAACTTCGCAGCAATGCTTCTCCTCGAAGTCACGAAATGGCCGAAATCTTCGAGTAGCCGTTTCAGATATTTAATTCGACCAGTGTTTTGCTTGTAAATTCCTAACCATTTTGTCCTTAAAGAATTTCCTTGCGGCTTTAAGCTTGTAGAATTCTTGTGGTTTGAGATTTCTTATAGTTTGTAGTTTTTAGGTCCTTTTTACCTGATAATTTATCTGATAGATGAACATAATCAGCATCTTTATGGCTATATTTTTTCCGCATTATCTAAACACAGGCATAGGATCTATGCTGGACACGAAATTGGAGCATATGGTTCATTCCCAACAGAACCACTGAGCTTTCTAAGAAATAAGCAAATAACTAACTTATAATTAAACTTTCTTTCATATGATACGAAAGGATTAGTAGAAAAAGGCTAGCTTTAATCCTTTCCTCAAGCTTAAGAGAATCCTAGTCTTTATTTCCTTGTCACTATAAATAGAGAATATGAGTGAGCGGCGTTTTCTTCATTCATCATTACTTTCAAGAATAATAATGTGCTGTGTTTATCGATGATTTCCATAATCGGGCTAATTAAAAGAAATATGATAATCACTCGAACCATCAACATAACAGATGTCACTCGCCAATGATCATTTAATATTCTTCATTTATAAGTTTGTTCCTATAATCTTTCAAACCCCATTACAACAATAATTTATTTTATTCGAACTTTTGCAATGATTTTAATAGTTAAACAGTTCAATTCATCGAATTAAACTGGTAAAAACAATAATTATTACTAACCAAGAAGAATGAATGTCATGGATGAAAAAAAATCTTTAGACTTTTGCTACGAATAAATTCGAATTTTTCTCAATTTGTGAATTCGTGAATCCAGTTTGCCTGCGAATTTATATAATGGATTATGGCAAATGAAAATAAAACTTGCAATCGGTGAGTATAAATAAATATATATATTCAAAAAATACTTAGCTTAAGCCAACATTAATTCGTATAATTCTATCAAACATTCCAAGTGAATTTGCCAAACATCAGAAACTAAGTCATCCTTATACCTATTTTATTCGAATTACTGAAGATTCTTGATTCTTAGTTGATTCCCATTGCGTCTGTTAAATTTTTTTCATATGGCTAATAAACTTTTAAAAAAGTTTTCAGTAGTTTTCAGTGCATTATATTTATTTTCTATTACACGTTCTATTAAGCCACTAACCTAATTATTCTACAAAGTTGTAGGGAAGTAATGTTCAGAAGAGTTCGTGACAAATAGGCGCAAATGCTTGAGACAAAATTCATCGGACAATGCACCAGTATATCAAATTCTCATGTGATTAATGAACCCAGTGATTTGTAAAACTGGCCTTATCAAAGCTATTCTGGCTTTGAAAGTTAAACTTGCATAAATTAGCTAAAAATTTGCTTTTCGTGTATTCCGCTATAATTATTCTTTCGAATAGAAGTATCAAATAAGTGAACCAGTAGGGTTTAAAAATATCCAACTTTCAGTAAATTCAATAGATATAAATAGAACGGTTCAAATTTTCATCTTTACAAAAATATTCAATTTGCACAACTTTTTTTCTGTGTAATTGTCGATTATCGTATTCACAAATCGGATTATCTTCAGTTAATTTTAGTTTCGACGGTTGTGAGTTCAGTTGATTAGCAGTTGAAAAGATAAAATAGGCTACTTGAAGAATTTCTTGTACGAAAAAAAAGCAAAATAGTTTAGTGAAAAATTCCCGAAATTCTCAAAAATCAGACATTTGAAAAGAATTTATCAAAAAGAATTCATTTATCAAAATTCGCTAG